AAACATACAGCTGAAAAAGTAGATATGTACAATCAAGCTGTTTCAAACATACATAAATTTTCCAGTAAAAACTGAGTATCAGTTTTGAAATTTAAATCAATTAAAAAATAAGGTTTAAAACTAATTTTCTTTTTGGTTTGTCTCTTTGTTCTTTGTTTTGTTTGTTTCCTAAATCTGGGTGGCTGAGTCAGTTAAAATCTGACTTAGGCTCAGGTCATCATCTCATGGTTTGTGAGTTCGAGCCTCACGTTGGCTCTGTCCTGACAGCTCAGAGCCTGAAGCCTGCTTCAGATTCTGGGTCTCTCCTCCCCTACCCTGCTCATGCTCTGTCTGTCTGTCTCTCTCTCTCAAAAATAAATAAACATTAAAAAAATTTTTTAAGCTAATTTTCTCAGTTGCACTAGCCACATTTCAAAGTCTCAATATCCATATATGGTTAGTGGCTACCGTATTAGACATTGGACAATTCAAGTCTAGATGGCCCTTCTAAGAGTTAACCTGCCACATTCTACAGTATAGATCAGGTGCTATGCCTCAAAACAGTTAGTCTGCATAAATCTAACTTAAATTATATCGACTTAAATTATATTATATTATATTATAACTTAAATTATATCAAACATCATTCCTGACCACAAAAGTATGTAACTAGGAATCAATTACAATAATAAAACTGAAAAATTCACAAATATGAAGATTAAACAACCTGCTACCACTGAACAACCAATGGATCAAACAAGAAAGCAAAAAATAAAAAATATCTTGAGACAAATGAAAGTGGAAATATACCAAAATGTATAGGAAGCAAGAAAAGCAGTTCAAGAGGGAAGTTCAAAGTGATAAATGCACACATCAAGAAACAAGAAAGATTTCACAAAACCTAGCTTTATACATCAAGGAACCAGAAAAAGAAAAAAGCCCAAGGTTTACAGAATGAAGGAAACAAAGACCAGAGCAGAAATAAGAGTTTTAGTGGAGGTGGGTGCTTCAGTGGATTAAGCATCCAACTCTTGATTTCAGCCTCAGGTTGCAATAGCATGCTTCATGAGTTCAAGCCCTACAATTGGCTCTGTGCTGACAGCTTGGAGTGTGCTTGGGTTTCTCTCTCTCTGCCCCTTCCCCACTCACACTCACTCTCAAAAAAAAAAAAAAAAAAACTTAAAAAAAAGTCCTAAAAGACATAAGATCAATGAAACTAAAAGCTGACTTATTGTAAAGATTTTATCTTTACAAATAGACAAACCTTTTGCTAGACTCACCAAGAGAAAAAAGACTCAAATAAGTAGAATCATAATTGAAAGAGATATTACAACTGATACCACAGAAATACAAAGAGAGATAAGAGACTGCTATGAACAATTATATGTCAATGACATGGACAACCTGGAAGATACAGATAAATTCCTAAAAACATATAAACTTCCAAGGCTGAATGATGGTGAAAGAGAAAATCAGAACAGAATGATTACTAGGGAAGACACTAAGTTAGTACTCAAAAACCTGCAAATAAAAAATCTAAGACCAGATGGCTTCACATTTAAAGAATTAATACTAATCCTTCTCAAGGTCTCCCAAAAAATTAAAGGGAAGTCTTTTTTTTAAAGGCTTATTTAAAATTATTGTGTGTGTGTGTTTGTGTATGAGAGAGAGAGAGGGAAGAGAGGAAGAGGGAGAGAGCAAGAGAGAGAGAATGAGAGAAAGAGAGAGAGAGAAAAGAGAGAACCAGTGGAGGAGGGAAAGTGGATCCAAGGGAGACAGAGGATCCAAAGCAGGCTCAGTGCCGACAGCAGAGAGACCAATGTGGGGCTCCAATTCACTAACTGTGATATCATGACCTAAGCCGAAGCTGTATGTTTAACTGAGTCACCCACGTTGCTCTGAAGGGAAAGTCTTTCAAGCTCATTTTATGAGGCCAGCAATACCCTGATACCAAAACCAGATAAGGACACAAGGAAATTATAGGCCAATATCCCTGATGAACATACATACAAAAGTCCTCAACAAAATATTAGCAAACCCTATTCAACAACACATTAAAGGCATCATGTACCACAATCAAGCAGGATTTATTCCAGGGATGCAGGTATGGTTCAACATCCAAAACTCAGTGATATACTAGATTAACTAAATGAAGAATAAAAACCATGTTTATTATCAATGCAGAAAAATCATGTAACAAAATTCAACTGCTGTTTATGGTAAAAACTCTCAATAAATAAAGTGGGCATCGAGGTCAGATACCTCAACATAAAAGCTGTATCTGACAAGCCCCACAGCTATTACCATACTCAACAGTGAAAAGATGAAAGCTTTTCTTTTCCTCTAAGATCAAGAACAAAATAAGGATCCCCACTCTTGGCAATCCTATTCAACACAGTACTACAAGTCCTAGCAAGAGCAATTTGGCAGGGTGAAGGTAAGGCAGTCAAATCAGAAAAGAAGAAATAGAACTGTCAGTACTTGCAGATTACATGATAGTATATATAGGAACAACAACAACAAAAACCTATTGAAACTATTAAGTTCAGTAGAGTTGCTGGACACAAAATTATGTGAAAATCTGTGCTGTTCCTATACACTAGTAACAAACTGTCAGCGACATTAATAATACAATTCCATTTACAATCATATCAAAAAAGAAAACAAAAAATCTAGGAATAAACTAAGGAAGTCAAAGCCCTATACACTGAAAACTGTAACCCTGGTGATAAACTAATGAAAGAAATTGAAGACGACACAAATAAATGAGAAGATATTCCAAGCTTCTGGACTGAAAGAATTAATATTGTTAAAATGTCCATACCACCCAAGGCAATCTACAGATTCAGTGATATCCCTATCAAAATTTCAATGGCATTTTTTTCACAGAAATCAATCTTTAAATTTGTCCGAACAACAAAAGACTTCAGGCAGTCAAAGCAATCTTGAAAAAGAACGAAATTAGCATTATGCTTCCTAATTTCAAACTATATTACAAAACTATAGTAATAACACTATGGTATTGACATTGAAACAGCCCCACCCCTGCTCACTCTGTCTCTGTCTCTCAAAGATAAACAAAATTTAAAAAAAAATCTTTTTTTTTAACACAATATGGTACTGGCACAAATAAGACAAAAAAAAAACCCAATAGAAATTACAGAGATGGCAGGAACCCTCCACTATAAATCTGCTGAATGCAAGAAAATTAAGAACAGAAATGAGTTAGTGTTGGTAATGAGACATCTTTTCCTGAGACAGAAGTAAGAGAAAAATGGTAAATCTAGGGATTCTGAGTAAAAAGACAAGAGTCTGAGTGTTTGTTGAAAATTTTTTGGTCTTAGTCCCAGCTCTTATTTGGGCAGGATGCTCGAACCATCTGGGTTGCAGTTTATTCATACAGACTAATTCTCAAAGAGCTCTTCTCGCACCAAAATTTCATAGCCTCTCTTTTCAATAGGAGGTAATACTACTGATAGCAAGGGAGCTATGGTGTGAAGTGTCAACAATGCAAAGTCTGTTGTGAAGAGAATAAGCCCCAGAATCCCATTCATTCCTCCTGAAGCTTTCATGTCAACATTTCAGTTCCTGCTGTATGCTAGACATTGGAAATAATCAGAGTAGAATTATGTCATTTTTATCTATGGCACAAACTTCAACTATATGACATATACTAGATGTTTTGCTGCTTATTTTTTGTCCTTTTGGAAATTTTCTTATTGTTTTTGAACTTCATTTTGGGTCAAAATTATAAACACTTATGTTAAATTAGAAACATAAAGATTATAGTAAACCAAGTATTTAAGAAATTTTGCAGCACTGGGGCACCTGGGTGGCTCAGATGGTTATGAATTTGCCTTTGGCTCAGGTCATGATCTCGTGGTTCACGGTTTAGGGCCCTGTATCAGGCTCTGTGCTCTCATCGCAGGGCCTGCTTCAGATCCTCTGCCTCCCTCTCCCTGCCCCTCTCTTGCTCTCACTCTCAAAAATAAAATTAAAAAAATAAATCCTGCAGCATTATCTCTTCCATCCTATAGGGGATAGGTAACACTTCTGTTATTAAAACAAAAACCAGAGAGTGCCTGGGTGGCTCAGTTGGTTAAGAGTCTGACTTTGGCTGAGGTCATGATCTCACAGTTTCTGAGTTCAAGCTCTGAGTCAGGCTCCGTGTGTCTCCCTCTCTCTGCCCTTCCTCTGCTCGTGCTTTGTCTCTCAAAAATAAACAAACATTTAAAAAATTTAAAAATTAAAAAAGACAAAAACCAGTAAAATAAATAAATTAATGCTGGATTATCAGTAAAGACACTTTTTATAAAATGGTTCTTATCAATAACAAAACACCAAATTAAACATAATCTTCAATGATAGTAATTATTAGCACAACATTATCTAAAAGAATTAAAGTTACTAAGAAAACACAAGGACCAAATCAGTATGCTCCTTATGGTAAAATCATATCCCTAAGTGTGCCCGAAAATAGGAGTAATAAGACTCTGAAGTATTTGCAAGGAAAAAGGGAAGAAAGGAAGGAGGGAGGGAGGAAGGAAAAAAGAAGGTATATAAACATTTCCTTCATAGTAATTTTTTGAGAATGACTCAAATGCCTAGAATAGTAGCTGAGATATTTAATTTATCCCAAGTATCTATAACATTTGTTGAAAGGATGATCAATGTGTAGTTTGAGATTAAGTACACAAAAGACTCTATTAGGAAATCTCGCACCATAAATTCTAAAAGATAGCTTTATGGCATGCTTTAAAATCTGGATAGCTGGCAAATGCAGCATAATAAAACTTAAAATTAAACACAAGCATGGGAACTGATGCTAGAGGATGGGGGAGGGTGCTGCTCACAGGTAATTTTTTTTTAATTAAATAGGTAAAAAAAATGTTTTTTGTTAAATAGGCTTAGAGATCCAAAATCTCATTCAAGTTAAGGCTTAAAATATCTCTTGTGCCACTTCCATAGTCAGTTTTAAATCCCTTCAAGATGTGTGAGAAAAAAAATTACATCACTCTTACCTTGTGCACAGGTACTGGACATTTGGATTCTAACACCGTTGTGTCATTACCATCAGAGGGATGCATCATAGTTAGGCCATTCAAATGTTGTTCACAATCACCTGGATGCACACATTTTTAGAATAGTATAATCAAGATATTTCATCTTATTTGTCCATAATTTGACTTTTTCTCCCCCCAACCCAGGTCAGAAACTATGAAAACAAAAGGATTAATTTTTTTATGCTGTTTAACTTTGCAATATTCTTAGTTGAGGAACTGTTATACTGAAAAATAAACATTTTTCATTTGCAACTTATGTCCTCTTGCTTTGTTTACATAAAGGATAACTGACACTGTGGGTCACCCACCAAATTCTGTGTTTTCTGTCCCTATGGTATAGCAGTCCCCCAGTGTGCAGAATGATCTCTGCTCCAAAGATGGTTTTAATTAGGCCAAATCAATCATGGTAATCCTACCCTAACCCAAGTGAGTCATTTAGGAAAGAGCAGGATTAAGCCAATGCAGGGGTCCTAGGGAAAGAAACTTCTTGGTGGCCAAATTGAAAACAAAGATAACAAAGAATGGAAGAACGAAGACACTGAATGAATACCTAGGCTAGCTTGTAAGAAGATAAAAAGCACAAAATGTAAAAAGTTGGCTTGACTCTGAGGTAAAAAGAACAAACTATGCAATCCTAGTAGATGTTAAAATGTTTCACTTATTTTCAGTAAAGATAACTACAGAAAAATAGCTTAAGCTTTGGTCAAACCATGCCTAGACTGACCTACCTTTGGACTAGTGGTTGTATGTAACTAACAAAATTCCCTCCATGGTTCATGTCATCTCAAACTGAGTTTTCTGGCATATGCAACCATGAGCATCCTGATGTAGAAACTTAGTTGGGTCATTTCTCTTTGAGTTCTCCCTAATTCTTTTCTACAGGCCCTAACAAGTAGCAAAAGGACAGAGGAGAAAAATGACAACTAAGTTACTATCTCTGTTAACTGATTCAAGCTCACAAAATCCTGGCCACTTCCATATTGTAGGAACTTACATTTAAGCTTCTAACATCCATCAATCCCTTGACTGACTCTCCAGCCAAATCCTACTAGTTGAAGTTGAGGCTTGAAGAAGAGAGGAATGTTAAAAGATGGGAGTGATCATGGAAGGGTGAGAATAACCACTGTTAAACTAGAGGCATGAATGAAAGAACAAAGTTTAAATTTGTATGTCCCTACATGGTACAACATATCTATGTTTTCTCCATTCAACAAGATATGGAATGACACGGAGTAAAGCTCAAAGTATGGAACTACATTACATCCCTTCTGTGCTTGAGGCCATATATTATTTAAGAAGTAGAGAGAGTATGCACGTCAAGAGAAGAAAATTCTCAATGACTCAGTTTGCTGACATAGGTGGTGGCAGTGCTATTATTAAGTATTAAAGAGGAGCAGTGCTGCCGCCTCCTGGTCACAAGCTGCATGCCTGCTCCATGCAGACATGGCACAGATGTCCAGCCCTGTTTTCCAAAAGTATGCTGGGAGGAAGGCTAACAACTGCACCTCTCCAAGAAAGACTTCCCAGCCTTCATAAAGAACCAGAAAGACCCTGGTATCCTGACTGCATGATGAGAAAACTTGACCTCAACTGTGATGGATGGCTAGATTTCTAAGAATTTCTTAATCTTATTGGTGGCATAGCCATATCTTGCCATGACCTACTTTATTAGGTCTACCCATTTCTGGAAGTAAATCAGAGATGCTCTTAGGCCTGGCCTGCAGACCAGCCCCTCTCCTTCAAAAGAGCCTCCCAATCATCATCTCATCCTCACATCCTACATGTACCCTGAGCCCAGAGCACCCACTGCCCCATGCAGCACAGTCCACTGGTAGTTAATAAAGTAACAGTGTTTTTTATTTCTCTTAATTTATTTTTATTTTTTTAGGTTTATTATTTTTGAGGTGGAGGAGGGGCAGAGAGCAAGGGGAGACAGAGAATCCCAAGCAGTCTCTGCACTGTCAGCATGGAGCATGATGTAGGGCTTGAACTCACAAACCATGAGACCATGACCTGAACCGAAACCAAGAGTTGGATGCTTAACCCACTGAGCTACCCAGGCGCACCAGTCATAGTGGTTTTTAAAGCAAAAAATTAAAAATTAAACAGGAAAGATTAAAATCAAGAAATTCAGTTTGGGCATGCTGTGCTTGACATGCCTATGTGATGCTGAACAAAAGATGTTTAGTAGAGTTGTATAAACATGCATGGGGCCTCAATGCTTGATCTGTAAAGTGAGACCAGAAGTCACAGACACCAAGATCACTCAGGCACAATGTATAGATTACTACCTTCCAACCTTTTACATGTTATAATAAGTAGAAAATGATCAATGTATGGCAGATCTGGGTCAATGAGAAGGCTGCTCCAAGCCTATTGCTTTGAAAGTGGAGAGGATCGCTAGCTTAGTAAACTCGGGCTTTGGAACGTGGCAGGAAAGCCCTGAAGTAAAAAGATAAGGCTTAAGGCAGATACAGAGTTATTTGTAAGGAATATTTGGAGAGATGGGATGATCACGAAAATAGTATCATAGAAGCCTAGGAAGTGTGTCCAGGGTCCAATGCTCTAAAAAACATTTTTATGGGGATTACCCTCTGGAACCCAAAACACTACAGAATTCATCTTTCCTAAGATTTATGTTCTTCCACCTGGACCAGTATCTAGCCCATATACTCTGAGCCACTGAAGTTTATATTCCTTTGTTTTTAAAACCTAGCATATATTCATATTTTGCAGACCTGCTCATTCTACCCTTATAATTTTTTTCACCCTTACCCTTTTCCTTCTTTCCATGACTTTTTTTTCTACTACTGCAAAAGCCCAATTGCTTTCTCTTCTTTCTCTGTTCCCTATGGCCCATTCCTCCAACTGGCCTACATAATATTGGCATATTAATTACCCTGAAGCACACCTTCAAACCTTCACTGGCTCCCCACTGACTATTCCATTACCATTAAATCCAAAGTCTCTAGATATCAAGGTTCTTTATGATCTGAACTGGTCTACCTTTCCAAATTCATTTCCCCATATTCCTACTTATCCAACCAAAGCTTTAATCACATCCAATTATTGATTGCCTAAATACCTTCATGCATGTTGTTTCCTCCATCCAAAATGCCTTTCAGTCCTAGATATACATAGATAAGTCTTACTTCTTCCTCCAATATCCAGCTCAAATGATACTTAATCTGTAAAATACACATCTGCCAAAGAGATCAGGTAATTTTGCCTTCCTCACCTTAAATTTCATTTTGATTCTTTTAGGGAACATTACTTTTATTTTGCATACCCAGTTGTTTATTTCTCCTACTAGATGACTAACTCTTTGCTTAACCTTTTTCTTTGCCATGTTAATTCACATTGATATGACAGCATCAGTATTTGTTTTAATTCTTAATATAATTGAGTGAAGTTTTTTATAAGCTGGGAAATGGATAAGTTATAAGAATAAGGCTAATAATCCTTTGTAACTAAAAACTTCAACTTATTTTAAGGAAAAAAAAAGAGGCTTCTAGTTCATATGGAGATGATGGCAGTAATTTTGGAAAAAGCTGGTAACACTTCATTCAATTTCTTAAAGCTTTTATGTACTCCTAACATTTTTCAGTCTTTTGTCATTAAGAAAACTTAGGTGAAGAAAATCTTTATTGTTTAAAAGACTTAACCAAGTTTTATTTCCCTCGAGATTAAACTCCAGAAAAGTAAACTTCTACATACATTTTAGCTTCTAGATAGGCATACATTTGCAGTTTCCCTTGGGCATAGTGCCACCTACAGGTAGCAAATGCAAACCACTGGATTCTGAAAAACCTCGTGCAACGGAAGAGCCACTCTGGCATCATCCAAAATTCTTTTCACACACTATGTTACAATCACATGTAAGCCAAAATTGAAGTAAAATACAATAAACTTACCCTGACTGAAGACTTAGATATTGAAAGCCTGCCTTTTCACAGGTAGGGTGTTTTCTCAAAATAAGAACAAAAGACCATCTTGAATGCATTCTTTCTGTTTTCCACTATTTCTTCTTCAGGGCTTTCCCTAACAATTGTTCTGCAATTGTGCTACAATGAAAACAGCAACCTTTTCCCCTACTATGGCTCTTTCTGATCAACCTTCACACATGTTCAAATCTCTCTGATTCAAAAACTCAAACATAACAACTTCTCCCAGTCTTATAAAACAAACAACAGAAAAATAAAAACACCAAACCCTCAAAAAACAAAAAAGAAAACCCTATTTTCCTGTTAAAGTCACAGCTATCCTCTCCAACAAACTTCTTGAATGACTGGGTTACATTCAGATTACTTCTCCACTTCCAAAAATCTGGCTTCTACCCCAATCACAATGGCCACTAAAAAGCCTTTTGCAAAAGTAAAAATCTCAACCACCAAGTTTAATCCTCACTCCTCATCTTACTTTGATTCATTGTAGTATATTCTTGTGGTACTTTTGTACTTTGGTGACTTGATAACATCAGCTTTTAACTTATTAATTTTTTAAAATTTTTTACTGAGGAAGTTTGTTTCCTAGAATTTTGTCCTTGACTTTCCTCTTCTTGCTCTGTATGTTTTCTTGGGTGTTTTCATCCATTCTCACAGTTTCAAGTAGCTTCTATATACTGGTAACTCATATAGTTCTTGTTATACCCTATTACTTCTAGAAGCCTATTTCTAGTTGTATATTTCCAATCAGATACTCTAGTACCTCAAATATGTCCAAAGTGAGCACTGCCTCTTATTTTCAGTCTGACTGTTGGATGATACCTTGGTGAGACATTCATTCTAACAAAGCCTATACACTGTGCCACAAAAATATTTTTCTAATTTATCCACATCCCTTCCATGCTTACTTCCTTCGTTATGGTCCTCATATAATTTCTTTCCTAGACTGTACAGCACTCAGCTTCCTTACTTGGTCCCAACTACATCAGAGCATCTTCATCTTAAATCTGACTGTCCCCTATATAGTTAAGCAACAATCACTTCCTACTATAAAATCTGACTTTGTGAAGCTCGTATTTAAAGCTACTTGGGGGCACCTGGGGGGCTAAGTTGGTTAAGTGTCCAACTTCAGCTTAGGTCATGATCTCATGGTTCATGGGTTCAAGCCCTGCGTCAGGCTCTGTGCTAACAGCTCAGAGCCTGGAGCCTGTCTCTGGATTCTGTATCTTCCTCTCTCTCTGACCCTCCCCTGCTCATGCTGTCTCTCTCTCTCTCTCTCAAAATAAATAAAATAAAATAAAATAAAATAAAATAAAATAAAACAACATTAAAAAAAAAAAAGCTACTCATTGTTGAGGGGTGCCTGGGTGGCTCAGTCGGTTAGGCGACTGACTTTGGCTCAGGTCATGATCTTGCAGTTCATGGGTTCAAGCCCCGCATCGGGCTCTGTGCTGTCAGCGCAGAGCCTGAAGGCTGCTTCAGATTCTCTGTCTCCCTGTCTCTGCTTGTGCTCTGTCTCTCAAAAATGAATAAATGTTTAAAAAAAATTAAAGCTACTTGTTGTGTACAAAATAAAAGACTCAAACGGAACACATACAGTCAAGATTTCATGACCTAGAATTACTACATCTTCAGTTATGCTCCTGGATACTTTGAAACCTTTTTCCACAAAAGGATGAATAGAAATATTTTATACTTTGGCTGATCTTTGTTTTGTTTTTTAATTCCTGGGATGCCTTCCAGTGTTGCTGTAGGTATTTTCTCTTTTGATCTCCACTCCCCTCTCCACACTGAAGAGCTATAACTAGAGTTAGATACAAAATGAAATACTCAAACACAGAACAGAGAGGTTTCACTGGAAGCACTAAAGGAGGATCAAAACTTCTCTCTTCCTCTTAATCTGTAGTGTAGTAAAACAATTTAGAAATTTCTTCTGCTTTGGAGAAAACCCTGCCCTTAGAGGCCAAATAGAAGCTAGTGAGCAGCCTACTAAAGGGAAGGTGACATGAGTAAGGAATATTCCACACCTGCTTCTAGGCTACACCTGAATACTGTCTCAAGGTTCAGGTCCTCCCTAGGCTGGGCTCATCAGTACTGGAGAATTATCCTTTGTGCATGCATGGCAAGAGAATCAGGATGAGATAGGCAATAGCTCCAATTCTGACACAACTATTGGACAAGATATTTGTAGTCAAATGAATTTAACGATATAAAAATCTAGCCCTGGTTTGGAAGATGATTTTGGTAAATGGGAACCACCACTAGGCAAGTATTTCTGGCCTAAGTTTCCTTAGCTGTAAACTACTTCTCATGTATAAAACTTAATTTCAACCTATAAAATCTCTGTCTTTTCCTTATTCAAATAGGAATAATGGAACTTTATTCCTTTCCAACTCAAATAGGAATCATGGAAATCTCAGAACTCAGCAGTATGGGCTCTGGCAGTGAAAAGTTTTAATATCTGACCCACTAGTCAATGTATATAATCTATATGAAAGTAAGTTGCATGTCAACTGTACATATAATTTTCTTATTCAAATGTAATGAATACCTTTAAGTATAAAGTAGATAATTTCGAACAATGTGCTTCAGTGATTATTTCTAACCTGAAATTTACTAGTTATTTCTAACCTGAAACCTACTAGTTATTAACTAGTTAATTTCTTACCTGAGGGAGGCAGAATTTGCAAAGATGAAATGTTTTTCACACTCTGTAAATGTTCTAATTCTTGATGATTAAATGCTAGCTGATGGTGATCTGGTGGTGTTTCACATGAAGTCTGACTAACAAAAGTGGTTTTTGCAGAGGCTTTATCTTGTACAGAAGACTGTATCTGTTAAGACAAAGATAAATACAATTGTTTTTCAATGTTTTAACCATACAAGAAGTTCAACTAAAAAAACAGAAACAGTAAAACTAATCGTAGATGTGATAAAGTTAATAGCTGCTAATTATAACCTTTATCTTTAGAAACCATACCTACCATTTTCCTCCTACCTTTAGAAATCCCACCTTACTGTGCACACCCTGCATCCTACTATGTGCACATAGGGAAAGCAAGGCCTTTCTTCTGTATTTAGTCTCAAGACTAACTCAAAACTTCTATAATTTTTTCTAATGACTTATAGAACAGTTATATCTTATTAGAAAAATGTAGCCAAAAAGTTCCTGTATTCAGTTTTAAGAAGAAATCTTCGAATATTTAAGTTGACAAACTAAAAAGTGACAGTTCTTCATTATAAACAAACAAACAAAAAATTTCAATGAAGCTACTACTATACCAGTGAGTTATAACATACATTTTAAAATTCTAAGGTAAGGGGCACCTGGGTGGCTCAGTCGGATAAGCTGAGTCGGGTAAGTCCGACTTCGACTCATGTCATAATCTCACAGTTTGTGGGTTCGAGCCCCACGTCGGGCTCTGTGCTGACAGCTAGCTCAGAGCCTGGAGCCTGTTTCATATTCTGTGTCTTCCTCTCTCTCTGACCCTCCCCTGCTCACGCTGTCTCTCTCTCTCTCAGAAATAAATAAAACATTAAAATAAAATTCTAAGGTAAAAAAAGAGGAAATTAACTTACCTTTACTTGTTCCTTAGGAGAATCATTCTGTTTTACTTCAGTAAATTTAGGAAACGTTTCTGCAAATGTATATAAATAAACATTTCAACATTTGTCAAATTAAAACCTTACCATTTAAATTATACATTTTTTTCATATTAGAAATAAAATGGTCATTTTAAGAAAATGCTTTTAATACAAACCTCTTATAAATTCTTATAGTTACCAGGTTTTTGCCCTTTGAGTGAACCAAAATTCTAAAGGGATATTTGCTTTTTAAAAGGGATATTTTCTTTTCTATATAATTGAGTAAATATCCACTCACAAATTTCAATTTGGATTATTTAGGTAAAAAGAAGAGCATAGTAAAGAGGTTGAAAAAGGTATAGTTTAAAAAAGAACAAGTTACAACACAGAAAAGGTTTTAAACAAGTAGAATGAATTATAACAAAGTCATCTTTTACCAAGTAGCCATAAATATAGCCATAACGAACTTAATTGAAGTAATTAAGAATTTACTATAAGAAAAAGGTGTGTCACTTATCTGAGATGGTACAGTCTTTATGAAAAGTGAAGCTATTTGATTTCATGGTAAAGTCTGCTCTGCTTACTAAGCATTATAGGAAAGATCCCAAATAATTAATTCTTTTACTTTCTAGGAATTTGGCAGCCTCAACTATGTTGCAACAGATGGTTTTTATAGTACCTTCTTTACCTTTAGAAATTTCTTTACAGCTAGCTGATAATCGTGGTAGAGTGGATATAAAAAGAGATCTCTGACATGGTGCTCATCAGTTCCTTTCTTTATCTTATAATATTTTCTGGTGCTATCCTCCCCAGTTCATAAGCCTAGGTCAGTTCAGTAAAGCACCAAACTGGAAGTTAATGCCTTGACCCATCTCCAGGCCAGCATTCATGAGCAACCTTAGCATTTGCTTCAGGCTCCAGGGCACCAAAGCTGGTTAACACCAAATCTTATTCAAACTTAAAACATTCTAATTTTAATAATTACCTTCTGCCTCCTGAAATGCCATCAGTTTCCACTGGATGTGTTACTGTTCTTTCCTCTCCTAAAATGTTTGATGCTGGACATTGTTAAAATTGCTAAATGCCACTTAATGACGTGCTTTAATTTAAAGAATTCAAGTTTTGAAATGACACGAACCATCTTAATGTCACTCCACTAAATATTATTTAAGTGTTGGGGGCTAGGTGGAAGGGAAGGGAAGGGAAGAATACAGACAGCAAAGATTGAGGGTATAGATCCAGGTAGCTTTCACATTTAGGGGACAAATTATGGTTTCAGCTTTGAAAAAAAAAACAGACTTTATTAATATGGTCATAATATATGCGCATCTACACAGCTATCTTAAATATTCAAGTATGCACCTAAACTACCTTATTCTATGATTTACATAAACTCTTAAGCATAATAAAATATGACATACATTAATGTTCTACTAAAAAATTCAAGGGCATTATCTTAGTTTTCTGATATAATAGCTCAGAATTTTAAAAATTCTCCGAATCTGAAGACCCTAGGAAAAGACATCAAAAGTTTTTTAACTAGAATGGTAACTAGACTTATTGTAGTCGTTATTTTGCAATGTACACAAATGCCAAACCACTATGTTGTACACCTGAAACTAACAGACTATTATTGTATGTCAGTTATACTGCAATAAAACGTCAGAACCATCCGATATAGTATGTTTCATAAAAGTCCTACAGACTATGGATAGAAGAATAATGATAGCCTAAAACTCAGTATTTTGATTCTCATTCTAATCTTACATAGTTGACTTTCTAGAAACATAATAAAGTAAAACTGTTTGTTTATGGGTTCTTGGCCCTTGAAATTAAAAGGCAAACATACACATTTTCACTATCAAATTTAAGATTCCATTGCAGTTAGTGAAGAAGCCCTTCAGGTCTTGCAAATCTTAATGAAACTGGGCACTATAGTGACAACATAAATACTTGCAACTAATTTCTCCAGGGAACTGTGATAATATGCATACCTACCTTAAGAGGATCAAGTCGGGTAATATATGTGAACTTGTTTACTAAACAAATGCATATCATGCATGTTATGTAACCTGTTCTATTTTCACATCTCTGCCGAAACCTCAATATAAAACCTTGAAAAGTTTTCATTTTAGGGGTGCCTGGGTGGCTCCGTTGGTTGAGTATCCAGCTTCGGCTCAGGTCATGATCTTTGATTCACTGAGTTTGAGACCTACATCAGGCTCTGTGCTGATAGCTCAGAGTCTAGAGCCTGCTTAGGGTTCTGTGTCTCCCTCTCTCTTTGTCCCTCCCCTGCTCACCCTCAGTCTCTCTCTCTCTCTCTCTCAAAAATAAACATTTAAAAAAAAGTTTCATTTTAAACTAAGGCAAAAAATTTTAGTCATTAAATAAAAAAGATCAGGGATCAAATATTTGATTAAGGAGTGCTATCAAAGCACTGAGGTAAATGCTCCAAATGTTATCAGGAAGATAGTATGGACTAAGAAAAGTTTAATAAGTGGAATATGAATATTTGCATTCTGTAATGCAAAACCAGATGTTATGCCATATTAGAGCAGAAAAAATTAATGAAGATTTTTGAGTTAGAAAACTAAATCACACTTCTGTCACACAGGACAGGGTTTAAAAAGGTGTTGGAAATCACTACCTGGTTCTGTTACCTTATTTTATAGGAAAAAAGCATGTCCAGAGATATTAAATGATTTGCCCAAGCTTATCACCTAAGACATGGTCTGTTGGTTAAAAAACCAAACCAAACCAAACCAAACAAACAATTTGTCTTTGAACTAAAAAAATTTTCACTGAAGTGTTTTGTGCTATCCGTCCATCTCAAAAATAAGTGAATAAACATTTCTAACAAAAAAAATATTTTAAAAAAGTAGAAACAAAAAAACCCTAGATCAATGGTTCTCAAACATGGCAGCATATTAAAGTCATTTGGGGTACTTAAATATCAGATATACCTGGCCCCATTCTCCATTAATTCAGGTTTGGACCCTAGCTTAAAAGTTTTGCAGGTGATTCTAATGTACTGAGAAAAACTATTCTAGACAGCCTGCTTATTCAGGAAGACCTGCTAATATTTGAACAGATTAAAATTATCACTATTTTTCTAAGACTTAAGGCTCAAGTATGGACCTCAATATATACAAGTGTTTAATCAAGGCTGCATCTTTGAATTATCTTTCTGGTGCTTTGAAAATACTTTCATTGATGAGAAAGTCATCATAGTTTTAAAAATTTAAATGATAAATGAATCATTTCTTTTAAATGGCAAAAACTATTCCCCAACTGTCATTGTATACTTCCTACATGCACTAAACCATCCTCCCCCTTAAAAGGTATAACAGGGGCGCCTGGGTGGCTTAGTCGGTTAAGCGTCCGACTTTCGCTTAGGTCATGATCTCGCGGTTCGTGGGTTCGAGCCCTGCTTTGGGCTCTGTGCTGACTGCCAGCTCAGAGCCTGGAGCCTGTTTCAGTCTGTGACTCCCTCTCTCTCTGACCCTCCCCTCCTCACGCTGTCTCTCTCTCTCTCTCTTAGAAATAAATAAAACATTAAAAAAAAAAAGTTATAACAAAATCCAGATTTGAACCAAGTCCATTTTGTCCTTTTTCCCCTTGCATTAAAGAAAGAAATCATATCCTTGTCACTTCTACAGAAAACCTAGGTTGTAAAACTAAAAAAAGAAATTGTTTTAGTCCTGTTTGTAAGTCACCCATAACTAAGGAAGTTTTTTTAAAAAGACTCTGTTAAACAGCTTCATAAATTTCCTTCTCTGAATATTACACTGAAGCCAATAAAAGCAAAAAACCTAAAGAATTAAGTGACAAATTTGCTTTGTCTTAATCAGGTAAGGAATTGATGCAATAACCACCGAGTTTGTGTGTAACTATTAAACAAGTGAAATTATAAACATTCCTGAAAAATATTTTTTAAATTTATTTTATTTTTGAGAGAGAGAGAGAAGGGGGAGAGAGAGAGTGTGTGTCAGCAGGGGAGGGTCAGAGAGAGAGGGAGACACAGAATCTGAAACAGGCTCCAGGCTCTGAGGGGTCAGCACAGAGCATGACACGGAGCTCGAACCCACAAACCATGAGATTATGACCTGAGCCGAAGTCGGACGCTTAACCGACTGAGCCACCCAGGCGCCCCCCTTAAAAATACTCTATTCCACACTAATCAAGTATCTGAGCTTACATTTAGGCAGTTCCTAAAGTTAGTTCCTATAATATTTCAGTCAGAAGTACTACTACTGATGAGCTGATCCCATTTCATTAACTCTCAGTAATATTACCTACGGATTTGAATCTATTAGTTATATCCCTCCCTATTATATCACTCAAGATAGCCAAAGCTATTGAGAGTTAGAACTCTCAGTAGGAAAAAAAGAAGAAGAAGAAAACTCTCAATAGGTTATGTGTACATAGTAGCAAAGCCCTGCTAACATAGGATATAAGCGTCTGGAATTCATTTTACTGTTAAACCTCATTTACATCTTTGATCTGATATTTGGTGATAGTTTGATGGTTATGAAAAATCGTTTATAAAAGGTTTATATGTATACCAATGTTTAATAAATGTTCTTGACTAAGCTAACATGACAATTTGCATATACTGATGTCAGTCAAGAAAATAATTTAAATGATTAAACCAAGTTACTATAAATCTGTAATCAAGTACTGCTTCTACTCCAAAGATATCTCATTTATATTTTTCAAAGATTTGGGATTTTATTCCAACTCCATCTTAGAACTGATTCAGTATCTTATTTGAAATTTTAATTAAGAATTTTTAAATAAAAGTTGTCTTGGAAATCAGAGCTTGGCCATTTAACTTAATCCTATTTAACAAAGCAGAATCGCGCCTATATTTTTCAAAAGTGCATAAAATAAGCTTTGAAAATACATGGAAGATAATCATTTAAATAATGTGGAATAAGCAACTGTAACACAATTTACAACACTTACATGTTTTTCATAGATGTTGTCCTTCAAACATTTCACACATCTAAATGGAATGCTACTGCAGTTAAGACAGACCAACTTATAAAAGAACCATGAGTCAATAATATTAAGGAACTAATAAAAGTTAACTTAGAGTTCCATCCTTGATAATGAAAATTACAAAAGATTATGACTTTATTAAGACAATAGCATATAGCCAAACTGCTATAAAATTCTAGAAGGCAGGTATTAAAAAAGATAAAAAATTACTAAAGATCAATATCCTTCTGTCAGAAAAGAATGTCCCACAGAAGCTTTCAGAAAAGTTTCCTCTATTAAAATTTTGAAATGAAATTATATTTACATCTCCTATCTTGAATAAATAAAAGCCTTATTAACCCGAGTTATGGCAATGAAGATATTCCAACTCTAAGTTTCAGTTCTGAACCTGTATTTATGTAACAGAGACAGTTTTTGCTAACATTCCTAATTTTCACAAATTGTATTTTCTCAGTCAGTAGCTCCATTTCCCTCCATCCTGAGACTTGACTTGAGATTTGTTGTCTGCTCCTTGATAATGTCATATACATAATTAAGAATGGTAGATGCTTTTTACTATTTTTACATTATTATGATTGATATGGTCTGACTTAATTATTTTTCATAATTTATAATCCTTTCACTTATAGTTTTTGTTCTTCTCAAGAAAGTAAAAATTTTCTTAGCTTACACACTAGAAATAAAAAGCCTCATAGTATTATAATGGGTACAACTGAAGTTAATATTTAGGACAAAGGTCCTATTGCTTCATTTACTAATTTATTTTGGCAAGCAAATAAAGCAAAAACAAAACAAAACAAAAACCAGAAGAAAACTTAATGCTCATTTAAGGTAAGCATTGAGCTTGCATTTTATAACACACATGCAAGTGTTTTTCCAAGTACACAGTCTGAATGTTTATAAAATAATAAAAATTCAAAGAAAATTACAAACTCATACTATCATGTAAGAAGACAAACTGACCTTAGTGTCACAAACCTATACACTCTCATAATGTAGGATGAAACATAAAAATCTGCTACTTTGATTTTAACAATGTTTTTAAAAACAATACCTGTTATTGAAAAGATAATATTAAATAAGAACACCAGTCATTAAATAAAAATTCAACACAAATATGTTAAAAAATTATAATTCTGAGGCCAAGTCATTCCACTGGAAAGTTAGGAAACCATATATAAGAATCATTCTAAGAACACATAGTAGATGATAAACATTCTTCCTGTAAGAAGTTTTGGAAGAATCTATCAAAAACAAATTTGACTGAAACACTCTGAATATAGTACTTTTCCTTTAATGCTCAAGGCATTTATTGATCAGTAGCCAATACATAATTAGATAACTCAAAGAGCTTTATCTTACAAATAAAAGACAAAGTGCTCTAACTTATTAGGCCACAAATGCTTTATTAGATGAAATTACAAATGCTAATCATTACAATTTAAAATTCTAAATGCAACTTTAGTTTTTCCAACATTGTTTTATGCTTTAATGTCAAATATAAGAAAATAATGTATAGAGCCCTAAATTAATCTAAAAATTTTCTAGTATTACAAATTCCAACAAAAGTAAAAATTGGGTTCATTCTAACAAAAATGTTCACCACTATATACTTTAGACATGTTAAAAACAAAATGCAGCAATCAGCACCACATAAATGCAAACTGAACAGAACCAAAAGTGAAACAAAAGGGGCTGCATGCCAGCAGGCCCTCACTATCAGACTGAAATAAGGGGGGTATTCTCACAAGTGGTAAGAATCTCTGATGTGATTCTTTTTTTTTTTTTTTTTTTTTAAGAGAACTGAATTTCATGAGAAACAAAAAGCATCTCATTCAAAATAAAGCAAAATTGTGGGTACAGAAGTGCTCTATATTCTGAATGTGCCTTCTGGTGGACACTGATGGACTGCCACTTGGGCATCCTTGGGGCAGTGATTACTTGTCAACTATATAACCATCAGTGAAACAGCCCAAAAAAAACATGAATCAGTTAAGCTTGATACAGTTGATGAAAATCTACCCAAGGTAATATGGTACTTCAGCGTAACTGAAAATCTCAATTTGAAGTACATTTTTCTCTTAGAGGAAGATAATATTCTACAATGAAGAAAACACAGAAGTGAATAAAATTCTCCTTTCAACATTTTCTGGGATGACTGGTTTAATTAAAAATGATTTTTCAATCATTCAATATATTCAATCCGAATATATTGTCACAACAGGACATAACTTTGCAACATTAGAGTGGTCTCATATATCATGGAGAGTAAAGTGAAAACTGTCCTCAAATAATCCTTTACTTTATAAAAATGAATTTCAGAATTTTATTATTTGTTTTCTCGCATTAAGATCTGATATTATATATTCAGAAACTATCTCCCGCCTTTAGTAAACTTATTTTCAACATTATACACCTCTAAGTCATATATGCATAACATGAAGTTTCATTTTACACAGCATCTCTTTTAAAGAAAATAGTTAAGATTTTCAACATGCAATTCAGTAATAAGTGTGGCATCCAAACCGTAGATCTGGGTAAGTGACAGACATTTCTTAAAAATCAAAGTCTCTATAGTACAAGGAAAAAAATATCTGCACAAACAGAGGTACACTTAGGGGGACAGCTAACCTGATTCGGAATCACTGCTGTCTGAGGAGCTGGAATCACTGCTACTGCTTTCAGTCTCTGATGAGCTGCTGCTGCTGCTGCTGCTGCTGCTGCTGTTGCTGCTACTGCTGCTGCTTTCGCTCAATCTGGAACCACTTCCGACAGCCTTGGCCGACTGCATCTTTCCAGCTACAAAACAGGGAGGTACGTTACAGCGCCAGCAGAATTACATAATCACAGGAACATTTAAGGAACTGCCACCTACATTTAGGTTGACATTTTCTAGAGTTTAACTGATTATTGACATCTAGTAACCGCTTCTCCAACTCCCGTTTTTTCTGTAAATGAAGTTCTTCTTTGGACTTTATTATCTTCTTACCTATGTGATTTAAGAGGAAAAAAGAGTATTACCAAACACTAACACAAATACCAGACTGATTTCTACTGCTGCACAGAAATACATACCGTGAGGCTTTAGTGCTCTTTTTCTTAGACATGCAGCAACATACTTTTCTAGTTCTCGCAGTGTTGATGCTTTCAGTGTTTCAAAGTCTATCTCTATCTCATCAGGGTTGGAATTTCTCAGTGAAGGCTCTCTTGACTGTATTATATGAACGACTCGCCCAAGTTTATCTCCAGGGAGTTTGTTTATATCCAAGCTTAACTGCCTTTTCTCATCATAGTTCATAGGTTTAGCATTAGCATCATCTTCAGATTTCAGAGCAAACACCTGCTGTTTCCTCTTCTTTCGCTGACTAAACAAAAATTAACGTTAATCAAATTTATCTGAGATAATATTATGATTTGAATAAGGCATTATAATAAAAAAGGTACTCACTTGCTTTTAGATTTTTCCTTTAATTTCATTTGCTTAAACTTTTTCCTTGGATTTTCATCCCTGTTATTAACCTTTTCTTTCTTCTTTTCCCTTTTAGATTTCTTTTTCTTTAGCTTACGGAAAGATCCTTGGGACAGAACTTGTAGCTGTTGATGAACAGCTTTCAGCTGATAAAGAAAAAATACTTTAAACATTCATGGCTCTGAATAAAGACATTAGAAAAAAATGAAGGCACTCAAAAGTCAAGACTATCCTTCTGAAATTCATGTCCTTCAGGTTCTTATTTCATTTCACAAATTTATTATTTTGAAGGGCATACATTAAATAAGAAATACTATCAATGTGCTCAACCCATAAACTTAGATACTCATCTAAAAACATATCATGAACATTAACACTTCCAGATAATCTTAACTTTTTTTTTTCAGGCTTGAGCTCAGAGAAGGTTAACATTTTATCACAAAAGATTGCAATGTTAAACAAAATTCATAAAGCATCTTAGATTACATGATCTAAATCATTTCAATGAGAATCAACTCATTGAAGTTAAGAATTTTAAGATATATAGATCTTTGGGTAGGAAAGACTATTAAACATTACAAATGTGACAATAAGTAAATAAAGCCACAGTTGCTAAGTGATCTAAATGTAACAGCTTTTAATCTATTGAAAGCATTTTATAATAGATCTGCAGCAAGAGCTCACAAAACTACAAAAACTTTTGCCGATACAATCAACTACCTGCTCCTGAAGTTTTGCAAGACGTTGAACTCGTTCATCTTCAGAATCACCAGATGAGTTATTTTCAGAGGAAGCTTCACTTCTGCTTTCTTTCCCATGGACTTCTGTGGTATTTGTTTTGATGTAGCATGAACTCTCAGCAGGTTCATCTGGGATCTTTGCAAAATGCATTTCAAAGATATCCTATAATGGAAAATTAGACTATAAAGATGTTCTATATTTCCAATTTAATGCAGCAATAACACCTTTTAACAAAATTGGCATATTTTGAGGATAATTCTGTTTTTCCTTGTGGTAATTGTTATATAATATATACATCAGGTCATTATGTTGTATACCTTAAACTTACACAATGTTAATTTACCCAAGAAGAAATGTAAGACTTGTGCTTCCTTGCCTGCTAACCTTAGCAACTTTTTCTCTTCTCTTCTAGGTATGACAGAACTGTCAAATTGTATAGAGGACGTTCTTTCAAGGGTCTCCTGCCCCATGGTTTGATGCATCATTCCACTACCTCCCACTGGCTCAGCCTCAAAAGTCCTCAAGCTTTCCCTCCAGGAAGACATGGGCTCCAGGCAATCCTATCTCAGATATCTACTATCCCCTCTTCATTAATATTTCTCCAGTATCCTCTATGTGCAGGGCAGCCTCATTAAAAGATTTGCTGTTGGGGCGCCTGGGTGCCTCAGTCAGTTAAGTGTCCGACTTTGGCTCAGGGCATGATCTCAGGGTTTGTGGGTTTGAGCCCCGCATAGGGTTCTGTGCTGGCAGCTCAGAGCCTGGAGCCTGTTTCAGATTCTGTGTCTCCCTCTCTCTCTGCCCCTCCCCTGCTCATGCTCTGTCTCTCTCTGTCTCAAAACTAAATAAAAACTATTATAAATTAAAAAAAAAACACTGAAAAGGAAAAAAAAAATTTAAAGGTAATGTATGCTATACCTAAAACAAAACAAAACGAAACAATCTCCACACTTTAATAAGAGTCTAATTAATAAATTATGCATTATATTTGGGGAGTAGGGTGTTCTTTGTCTTTTCAGTTATGGCTTTAAAGTTTCCAAACTATGTTCAGAGGAAACTCACTTTCAGAGCACATCCATCAACTTACCTGGAATGCTTTCGCCATTGTCACTACTTCATGGTCTGGAGGATTATACCTGTAGCAATTCATGAACATTAATCTAACATCTGCCGCAAATTCATAGGCGTCTTTATATTCTTGGTTGTCCATTTTTCCCTAAATTAAGGAAAAAGTACAGGATTCACAAACAACATAGCTCAGTAATTATTTAAGCACCTATATTATGAAATATTTCAAACAGAAGAATATAGATAATACCAAAAACAGATACCCATCCTCCAAATTTGACATATGTTAAAATTCTGCTATTTTTGTTTTTGTAGTTTCTGGCTTTAAAATTATCCAATGAGGGGCGCCTGGGTGGCTCAGTCGGTTGGGCGGCCGACTTCGGCTCAGGTCATGATCTCACGGTTCGTGGGTTCAAGCCCTGTGTCAAGCTCTGTGCTGACAGCTAGCTTAGAGCTCAGAGCCTGGAGCCTGTTTCAGATTCTGTGTCTCCCTCTCTCTCTCTCTGACCCTCCCCTGCTAACGCTGTCTCTCTCTCTCAGAAAAAAAAAATCCAATGAGTTTTGACAAGCAGAGATAAGGAAGGAGGACATTCCAAGTTAAAAAAAAAAAAAAAAAAGCCAGGAACAAAATCACAAAAGCAGGAAAACAATGCATTTTCAGATAACCTTGGATAAATAAGTTTGATCCTAGGAAAAGTGGTGAAAAGATAAATTCCTTAAATGAGCCCTGAATATCTAAATGAAACATTTTTGCTAAAATTCTCCTAAAAATTAAAAGACATAAAAAACGGAAGAGAATTGGTAAAAGAAAGAAAATAATATCAAAGCTAAAATAAATGAGAGACAAAAAAAAAAAAAAAACAAAACCCACAATAGAAAAGTACAATGAAACCAAGAGCCAGTCCCTTGAATAAATAAAAAAAACTGATAAACCTTTAGCCAGATACATTTAAAAAAAAAAAAAAAAAGGACTCAAATAAAATCAGAAATGAAAGAGAAGTAACAACTGGCATCACAAAAGTACAAGGGATAAGAGACCATTACAAAAAGATAATATGACAACAAATTAAGACAACCTAGAAGAAATGGATAAATTTCCAGAAACACACAATATCCAAGGCTGAATCATGATGGAATCAAAAATCTGAATAGACCAATTACTGGTAATGGAATTGAATCAGTAATCAAAAAACTCTCAAGAAAACAAGCTGAGAATCATGAGGCTTCACAAGTGAATCCTACCAAGCATTTAAAGAAGAGTAATACCTACTTTTCTCAAGCTATTCCAAAAAATAGTAAAGGAAGGAAAACTTCTAAATTCCTTCAATGAAGCCAGCACTACCCTGATACCAAAACCAAAGACACTACAAAAAAAATAAATAAATTACAGGTCAACATCTTTGAAGAACATAGATGCAAAAATCCTTACCAAAATATTAGCAAAAGTAATTCACCATGAGCAAATGGGATTTACTCCAGGAATGCAAGAATGGATTCAATAATATGATACAACACATGAACAAAATAAAGGATAAAAACCATATGGCCGTCGCAATAAATGCAGAATAAAGGGGTGAACTTCAACATCTTTTCATGAAAAAACTCTCAACAAAGTGGGTTTAAAGAGAACATACCTCAACATAAAGACCATATATGAAAAACCCACAGTTAACACCATATCAATGTAAAAAACTGAAAGCTTTTAAGACCAAGAAGACACGAATGTCTATTCTCACCACTTTTATTCAATATAGTACTGAAAATCCTAACCACAGCAATTACACAAGAAAAAGAAGTAAAAGGCACTCAAAGCAGTACAGAAAAAGTAAAGCTTGCTATTAGATCATGATACTATATATAGAAAACCCTAGAAATTCCACCAAAGAACTATTAGAATAAATGAATTCAGTAAAGTTGCAGGATACAAAATTAATATACAGAAACATGCTGCCTCTATATACTAATACTGAAGTAGCAGAAAGTAAAATGAAGAAAAACAATCCTATTTATAACTGCATCAAAAAACAAAAACAAATTCCCTAAATATAAATCTAACCAAGAGGGTGAAAGACCTGTACTTTGAAAATTATAAGACATTGATGAAAGAAATGTCTTTTCACTAATGAAAAGATAAACCATGCTCATAAATTGGAAGAATTAATATTTTTAAAATGTCCATACCACAAAGAAATCCACAGATTCAATACAATCTTGATGAAAATGCTAATCATAGTTTTCATAGAACTAGAACAAGCCATCCTAAACCACAAAGACCTTGAATAGCCAAGGCAATCTTAAAAACAAACAGGGGGCAACTGGGTGGCTCAGTTGGTTAAGCATCCCACTCTTGGTTTCAGCTCAGGTCATGATCTCATATGATTTCATGGGTTTAGCCCTGCATTGTGCTGACAGTGCAGAGCTTGCTTGGGATTCTCTCTCTCCCCTTCACTCTGTCTCTGCCCTGCTCACGCTGTCTCTCTCTCAAATAAATTTTAAAAAAGAGAGAGAAGACCAAAGCTAGAGGAATCATAATCCCAGATTTCAAAATATACTACAAGGCTATAGTAATCAAAACAGTGTGGTACTGACACAAAAATACACCAATAAATCAGTGGAACAGGATAGAGAGAGCCCAGAGATAAACCCACACTTATATAGTCAATCTATGACAAAGGAGGCAAGAACATACAGTAGGAAATAGATAGTCTCTTCAAATGGTACTGAGATAATTGGACAGCTACCTGCAGGAGAGTGAAAATGGAACCACTTTTTTACACCATACACAAAAATTTAAAACAGAATAAAGACCTAAATAAAGCCATAAAACTACTAGAAGAAAACATAGGCAGTACTCTCTTAGACATGGGCTTTAGCAACATTTTTCTGGATGTGTCCTCAGGCAAGGGTCATAAAAGCAAACATGAAGTATATCAGATGGAAAAGTTTTTGCACAGTAAAGGATATCATCAACTGAATAGGAGAAGATATTTGCAAATGATTTATCTGATAAGGGGTTAATAGCAAAGATATATAAATAATTCATATAAGAAAACATAGAAATTCATCTAAAGGATACAAAAATGCTGATTCACAGGGGCAGAGGCACCCCAATGTTTATAGCAGCAATAGCATCAATACCCAAATTATGGAGAAAGCCCAAATTTCCATCAACTGATGTATTACGAAGATTACGAAGATATATGGTATGTTTGTGTGTGTGTGTGTGTGTGTGTACATACACACACACACACACACACACACACACACACACACACACTGGAATACTACTCCATGATGAAAAAGAATGAAATCTTGCCATTTGCAACAATGTGAATGGAACTGGAGGGTATTATGCTAAGTGAAGTCTGAGAAAGATATGATTTCACTCCCATGTGGAATATGAGAAACAACAGACATAAGGGAAGGGAAAGAAAAATAAGAAAAACAGCCAGGGATTCAGATCATAAAAGACTTATGTATAGAGAACAAACTAAGGATTGCTGGAATGGGGCGGGGGTGGGAGTGGGGGTTAAATGGGCGATGGGCATTAAGGAGGGCACTTTTCGGGATGAGCACTGGGTGTCATATGTAAGAGATGAATCACTGGGTTCTCCTGAAGGCAAGACTACACTGTATGTTAACTAACTTGAAAAAAAAAAAAATCAGAACGACAAGAATACTCCTATAACCAAGAAAAGAAGTTCTTCCTATTAAGATAAATTTACCTTAATAGTTCCAAGATCCATTGGATTCTTCACAATATCATAGTAGTTATGGAGCCCCAAAGCATTAACATCAACAGGATTATAAAAGGGCCATGCATAGGGTAAGTGTTTCTTCGCAAGCATTTCTTTAAGAATCTCACTACAGTGCCTTAATTGTTTGGTCACTTTAACACTCTTTACAACTTTACATAGTTGCTGAGAATCTGGCAAAACAGTATTCGGCACATTTTCTTTTATAGGTGGCATTTTCACTGATGTTTTTTCTGCAAGCGTTGGGGAAGTTGCACCACTTGCTTTAACTACTGAAGTTGTAGGAGTTGTGGTATCTGCTTTCCTCTTCACACCCCTTGTAACCTGAAACAATTCAATAAAAACAACTATAATAAAGTGACATTCACACCAACAGTTTTCAAACTTTTTTGATGGATACCCTTACAGTTAAAAAGCAAAACAAAAAAAATAAATAAATAAAAATTACCAATAGCATGTCTTCTATATATTAAATATTAGTAAAAGTTAACTTCGCTTTTAGAGGCAAAATAAATAGCTCAAACATTTTCTTCCTACATCCTAAAGAATGGTTCTATGCAAACCTTTGAGATCTATGACAGACTGGAAAAATAAAAGTCCCAGTTATGCAAAAACAAGTCTGAATACCCAAAATCAGCTATGGTATACAGTTTTAAATTATCAACCCATCAAGTTGCGATTCAATAGAATTTACATAACACACACAAAATGGGTAGTTGGGCAACTGATATTAATATAAAAATACAGTAAACCAGTTCAAATTCTACATGAGAAATCTCTAAACTTTGATTCACATCCTAGATCTCTGTTTAAAAATGTACACAGACAAAAATATTGACTGCAGTATGTTGAAGACCAATTTTCAGATCAACTTGAAAAAAGGCTTAGTCATTACAACCCCTTACACTGAAACATTTTAAAGTCACAGGAAACTTACTTGGGCCACTGTCTGTGAGGTAGAGTTGAGTGGAATACCTTGTGCCATCTCTGAAGGAGAAATAGATGTCTCAGGAAATACAGAGGGAATCACTTGCTGTTTAAATACCTTTTCAGGGGCTTTGGAGGATTGTTTTTCTTTACCAGAAAGAACTGCTACATTATGATGAATGCCTAGCCAAATGTGAACCAGAGTAAATATGAGTAAAATATAAAACTATTTTTCTGTTAGTATTCTATTTTAATTTACTTAATTCAGCTTTTTAGCCATAAAAACACAGTACACTCCCATTCTCCTTTGAAACCTTCCCATACATACTTGCTAACATTTGCTAGACCAGTTTAGATACAATATTAGAGATTTCAAACCAGATATTAATGGTGACTTACCAATTTTATTCAAAATATGCCTGGCTTTAACTTAGTCTAATAGAGCTCTGTGAGTACCTCCAGTAAATTGCAGACATCCTGGAGATCAGCTATATAATACTATGTGAGGTCTCCAGAATGCTCTGCATAAATATCCAAGAACTTTAAAACTGACGTAGTCCAACATTGGCTGACACAAAACAATAGACGTGAACATAATTTTCTTATCAATATGTCCTTCAGATGATTCTGCCAAAGGAACCATTGTGTATGGTCTTCTGCTCTGCATGTTCCCAGAGAATACCATGACTTAAGACATTTGGATCACATTGCTTGGAAATCTGTTATTTCAAAAGTCCATCCTTGTATCCAGGTAACTCCATTCTTCAGACTATGAGACTGACGTGCTGCCAACTGCACCAAGAAGGCTGCTAAGGTAATTCCATTCTTCTAATCACTCAAGCTAAAAACCTTGGAGTCATCTTTGACTCCACTGTCTTTCAAACCCAATATCCCAATCCATCAACAAACTCTTTTGGCTCTATCTTCTTATCCAGAATCTGACTACACTCATAGGTGGTAATCACCCTGGTCCAAGGTATCAATTCTTAAGTGGATTTCTGCAGTAGTATCTGATGAGCCTTTTTTTGCTTTTATGTCATATACTCTGTTCTCAAAATAGCCATCGAAGTGGTATTTTAAATTCAAATAAGATCATGACACTTCTGCTCAATGCCCAATGACTTCTAATCTTTTTTTCAAATAAAGGCCAAAGTCCCTACAATGCCTTGTAAGGAGTACCCGTATGATCTCTCTACCTGCACTTCTGCCGTCCCCCCCACCCCCCGTGCCTACCTCTGCCCTCCTTCCAACCACACTTCCTATCACTCTAGCCCTTCACTTATTTTACTTAGCCTACTGGCCTGCTGTCCTCAAATCTGGTATGCATAAGCAGACTATTTGCTCCGCCTTAAGGAGACAGCCTGTCAGCTATTCCTTAAGGGCATACTCCAACATTCCCTTTATGCCTTCACTGAAATGTTACCTTATCAAACCACCTTATATAGGACAACTTTCTCCTTCCACTCCCACTACTTTCTTGTTCTCTTATTCTTATTTTTTTCCTTGCCATTATCACATTTGACATATAGGCACCCCTGACTCTCCAAATTCTTGCTAAACAAATTCAGGAACAAAATAGATTTGAATATATTTTAAGACAAGGCTTATATGCCTCAATCCCTGAGTTCTCATCACTCACTAACACTTAGGAACCAAATAGACTGAGATAACCTGTCTTCCACCTATGGCTCTTTGAATTCAGGAGCTAAACAGAGAAGTATAATGAGAAATACTTAACATTTACTTAATTTTACCAATTTCCTCAACAAAAACAAAAAGCTCTGTCGGGGAAGGGAACTTTGCTTTGATCTCTACAATACCCTTGTGCCTAATATAGTACTTGGGACCTAAGAGGACTCAACGAATATCTATTGTATGCTTATCATGTATCAGGCCAACATTCTAGGTGCCAGAGCCCAATAATGACCACGACAGACACAGTTTCTGTCCTTGTTTAGCATGTTGTCTAGTGTAAGAAATAGAAAAAAATAATAATCAAGTTGATTACAAATGATGCTAAGCACTAGAAAGGAAGTATATGGAGTGCTGACTAAAGGCAGAGACCTACTATACAATAGATAACCAAGGAAGTTTCTTTGAAGAGGTACCAATTAAGATGTTACTGGCAGTAAAAATGTATTCCAAGACACTCAGCAGGGAAAACTTCAATGAGTGAGATGCAAGTAGCTCAGGATGAGAACAGAGAAACGGGCAAAGTCCTGATCCCAAAGGGGCACAGTAGGGATTTAGACTTCATTTTAATATGGGAAGCTTAAGAGAGGTTTTAAGCAGGTTAATGATGTATTCTAGTTTATTTTTAAAAGACTGCCTTTGGGGCACCTGGGTGTCTCAGTCAGTTAAGCCGTCCAACTTTGGCTCAGGTCATGATCTCACAGTTTGTGGGTTTGAGCCCCGTGTCAGGGTCTGTGCTGACAGCTAGCTCAGCCTGGAGCATGCTTCAGATTCTGTATCTCCCTCTTTCTCTGACCCTCCCCTGTTCACACTGTCTCTTTCTCAGAAATAAATAAAATATTAAAAAAAATTAAAAAGAGAAAAGAAGAGTCAGATGCTTAAAAAAAATAAAAGACTGCCTTTATGTGGCACATGGGTGGCTCAGTTGGTTAAGCATCTGACTCTTGGTATCAGCTCAGGTCATGATCTCATGGTTCATGGGTTTGAGCCCACAATGGACTGTGTTGATGGTGCAGAGCCTGCTTGTGATTCTCTCTGTGTGTTTCTCTCTCTCCCTCTCTGCCCCTCCCCTGCTTATGCTATCTCTTTCTCAAAATAAATAAATAAACTTAAAAAAATAAATATAAATAAAAGACTGCTATTGTATAGAGAATAGACCACAAAGAACAATCTGGATCATGGGGACTAAGAAGACGGTAGGCTAAAGTAGTAGTATTGCAAAAACAATCTGAGGAGTCATTACAAAGAATACCTAATGAACAGAATGTGAGAAAGAATCAAAGCAAGGAAGGAATCAAGGACAACTTCTAACTATTCTGGCTTGAATAGCTGTGTATCCATACCATTTTCTGTTACACAGAATAATCTAAGGAAATTCAGTGTTTAACTGCAAGCAAGGTAAATGAGAGAAGTGTATAAGACATCCAAGTGGAAATGTCCAGTGCCTTGAAGATAATCATTGGTTTCTCAGAGAGGACTGTGTTAGAGACATAGATTTGGGGATTAATAGCATGCAGATGGAATTTAGAAAAAGGATACCTAATATCAAACCCTAAAAAGAAAACCCCAATACTTTCTATGTATTTTTTTTTTTTAAGTTTTATTTCTAACTACAATGCAAATTGAACTTGAGAGTCAGGGTGGTTCTCTATCTTTGTAACCCCCACAGTATGTGCATTTTAAGTGACAAACATCCAAATACATAATGACAGAGAAACAAAGTCAAAGAAATTTTGTCTGAGGGAATCTTATGCTTTTAGCAATAATCTGAGCATCTGAAGCAGGTAGGTACAACTTAACCATCAAGAAAGTATTAAAGATTTTTTTTTTAAGGGAAGCATTCTAAAGATAAATAATTTTTACTTTGCTTGATAATATTTTATGTCATCACTTTGCTTTAACAATTTAAATAGCATACTGATATCCTCTTGCAGAACCCTAGGCCATATATTGTCAGACTTAAGATCAACCTTTTCCAAAGGTAAGAATAAAATAAGAACTTTAATAAACAGTGAGTATCTCACTGGATTGGCTAAAGCTTTAAGTCATGACCCATCTTAAAGATCTATCAACAAGGAAAAAAGGACACATTATTATCAATTAAAACAACCTTTACAGTGGTGTAAGTCCCCTATATCCCAGCCACTTAACTATATACTTTACAAACACAAAAGCTAAATATTTTCCTGATATTATACATGAGGAAAGTATCATGGAATAGTGATTAAGAACTTAACCAAAATGTACACCTGCAGTGATCCAAAAATAAACCCACATTTCATCTATGACAACTTTGGTTACTTCTACAATAAATCCAACTGAATACCTAAGATTAGTTTTGTAAGTTCATATTTAATATTATTAGCTGTAAAATATTTCTCTCTAAAGTTTGTTTATTTGTTTTGAATTAAGAGAAAACAGGAGAATCCTCAGACTCAACAGTAACATTTCATTCTTAGCTATGGGATCTTTTGTTACAAGGAACATTGACAATTTGGGCCCTCTTATTATATAGCAGAGATGTAAGATCCACTAAAAATACTAATAAATTTACTGGGTGCCTACTATGTGGCACTGTGCTATAGGGACTCTCAGCCTCCAAAGCCATAATCCATACAATCCTCTCTAACCTTGTATATATAATGGCCATCCTTGTTTTCAAAGTTTGCCTTACTGTTTAAATGGACCAATAGAATATGATATAGAAGGACATCTGAATGTATATCCTTTGAGAGATTTATTATTTAGCTCTAGTCATTATATTTATACACGCACATGTACACATTCATTTAATACAAAACACAGAGAAAGAAAGAAAAACATAAATCTTTTCTGCCTTACCTTTCTTTATTCTTTCCTTACCACCTACAATTTGTTCTTCTTGTGGCATCTGAGATAATTTCTGCCTAAACAACTTCTCTAGAGCTTGTGCCATAAGAACAATGTCATCTCCAGGCTAGAAAATATAGAAGATCATACACTATGGTCAACAAGTCAGACTACCTTAGAGAAGACAATGACACAGTACTCTTAGTATTTATTTAACAGTATTTAGTGCTTCTAAATTAAGTTTAGAAAATGGTGTAGCGGCTCATATTTTAAATTCTAACAAGTCATGTTAGACTGTAACGTGTAACTTCTAAAAACAACCCAGGTAGCCTTTATGAGTAATAGGAGGTTACAGTCCAACCAACCCTACTAATACAGAAAGGTTTTAGAAATTAAAATCTCTACCTCACAAATAAGTGAAAACATATTCATGGCTGTGCAAAGTACATGATTTGACTTGATGTGATTGTTTTCAATTAACTATAAGTGATAAAATGACACTGAAGAGCTGTTTTCGTTTTTAAATCTTTTTTGAAAATTTACTCTGCGAGAGCACGGGCAGATGGGTGCAAGCTGGGAGGGACAAGTAGGGAGGAAAGCAAGACTTCCAAACAGGGTCCACCCTCAGCTCTATCCGTGGGTGACCTGAGCCGAAATCAAGAGTCAGTCACTTAAATGACTGAGCCATCCAGGCGTCCTCTCCCCCACCTCCTTTTTTAATCTTAACTACCTGCTTAGAAATCTTCAGTTTGCTTTACTCATTACTGACTTAAAAACAAGAAGAAAAACAAAAACAAAACTAAATCACAAAGCAAGAGCCTAAAGCAGAGAACACTGACTTTGAGTCAGGTATGTCAGGAAAATTACTGAACTTCATTTTAAAATGTTAAATATAAAAGTACACTTGGGATTGTTAAATTAAAACGAAGTTGTCAATGGCACTTTCAGAATACCATTAATTCTGATGTTTTAAAAAAAATCATATTGGCTAAAAGTCTTAAATTTAAGGTGGCACCGATAGTTTGGGAACCAAATTTCTATTACATTTCAGCATCACTAGTGAATTGGAGTAAATGCAATGCAAGTTTTAAAATTTTTAGATATCATGTAGCAGCTTAAAAAGGATGCAGTACTCTAGAAAAAAGGAATACTATATGGAGAAAAAGCTCAATACACAAATCCAGTTTTATGGATGAACGCAAAAGTGAAAATTAAAGTCAAAATGTCCATATACAGTATCAGACAAGCTAATGCATCAACACAAATGCAAACACTACTACTAGAAAACAGAATGTGTCTTATCTTTAAGTTAACTTGTCATGAAGTTTAGATATATATAATTTGTTTGATATACCATGAACATTTAGTTTAGATTAGTATATAATAAAGTTTATCATTTATAACCAAAATGGCAGAAGTATGGTAAAGAACACTTTGAAATGATCCTTTATTCACAGAAACCAGCTATCATTGATATTTTGGCTCAGGTTATGATCTCATGGTCTGTGAGATCAAGCCCCACGTTGAGCTCTGCACTGACAATGCAGAATTGGCTTAGGATTCTTTCCTTCCCTCTCAGCCCCTCTCCTGCTCATAAGCATGCTCTCTCTCTTCCCAAATAAATAAACATTTCAAAAAATAAAAAAAGAAAACATAAAGAACGATTACAGTTACTCAGGCAAAATTATGGCAGATAGATTGTGAATATTGACACGTAAAAATTATGAAATCCAGTAAAAAACAAACATTATCCATAAATATGTAAAACACCCCCAAATCAAGACATGAAATCTAAAATCAGCACACTTCTTATGTATGTAAAAGCAAAAAAAATTATCAAGTATAACATAAACCTACATACCTTGTTGTATAAATAACAATTTGAGAACATTGTGTTGAAGTCTTCTATACACTCTGAAGCCTTCACATAATATTTATGTTCTAAGCGCTTCTTAATTGTATTTAAATCCATTGGGGTTTTGATAATGGTGTAATAATCCTATGATTTTCATGAAAAAATTCTAAATGTTAGCAGTAAGTACAAATTCATTACAATTATTGGTACGCAAAGAAATTTAAGAAACTATATACTTGTAACTAGAAAGAACAATTGATTCCCTTTAAAAAGCTACAATCAAGAAACCCAAATTTTTGTGATGAGAAGCAAAGCTGACTGCCATGACATTTTTTTTTTCAGAGAAAAAAATAAACAACAAATAGGAATAACAAAGACAAGAAAGTAAGAGTAGAACTATCCTGGAAAATAAAAACTGAAAGGCATGTAGAAAAACGTAGAATTTATGAAGTATGACAGATCCAGAATATAATCCCAATGCCATGATTTACTATGTAACAAATTACTTAACCATTCTGTTATCAGAATGGCTAATATAGGCTAAAAATTCCTAACATAAGACCTAAAGTTGAATCCTATGTATGATGCCCCTAAGTCTACCAAAAAGTGTCAAGAGCAACTTCATGGAGAAGGAGACATTCATGACAACCTTGCATCAAAAGGTCAAATGACACATTCAAAAAAAAAGTCAAGTGACATATTCTATAACAAGAAAGCATTTACTATAATTTACTACAGGCTGTTAAAATACAAATTTAAATGCCCAGAAAAATGAGCTTTGTCATGTAAGAAAAAATACTTATTGGGAAATTCTTCAGTGGTGCAGAATAAATTAGGTCTTTATCAAATTAAATATATTTTATAATATTAAAGACTAGTTTATTTCTTTCAGATATTTATGGGATTTTTCTCTTTTATAGTTAACATAATCATAGGACACACTTACAGGCAGCTTTAGCTTCACAGCATCCACAGGTTGCTGAAATGGCCACGAAAAACTATGCTTCCATAAAGCCTTCAGGACAACTCTTTGTAGATATTGCAGTTGATTTGTCAATCGCCCATTTTTCTTAGTATTTATATATTCTGGTGGTGGAGGGTTAACAACTGCTGTTTGTCGACTTGACAGAGACATTCTTAACTGCGTCAAACACTGATATTACAATGTTGCCTACAGGTACACGTCCTTACACGTCCTTAAAACACAAAAACAAAACGAAGTTACCTTCAAAGCACGTTTAATATAGTTTCTATAGGAACTAAAAAGTGTTAGAGTAGTATATTTTACAGCACATCATGAGTAAGACAAAAAAGCCAAATGATAAATGAATCCATTTGTACACAAATACAAACCTTTTTCTATATAAATACTAAGAGTGGTTTCATTATGTATGCCTTAGTTTTAGATAATTTACGGTATTTAAAATTTTCACTGTATTTCTTCTGCCTTTCTAAAACACAAATTGAGGTCTTAGCAGGAAAAGTCTGTCAGTTCCTGGTAAAAAAGAATTAATAGGAAATGTTTACAGTTACTCTACAATTATTAATTTAGTGAAAGAAGAAAGGCAAAATAAAGGATTTTTTTCTGGCTGATTTAAATAAGATGACTTTTTTTTTTTTTTTTTTTTTTTAAGTAGGCACTATGCCCAATGTGGGGCTTGAACTCATGACCCTGAGGTCAAGAGTCACATGCTTTAACCGACTGAGCCAGCCAGGCACCCCTAAAGCGATTTAAGACCTCATTATTGGGGCGCATAGGTGGCTCAGTCAGTTGAGTGTACAACTTTGGCTCAGGTCATGATCTCACGCTTCATGGGTTTGAGCCCGACATTGGGCTCTGTGCTGACTGCTAGCTCAGAGCCTGGAGCCTACTTTGGATTCTGTGTCTTTCTCTCTCTGACCCTCCCCTGCTCATGCTGTCTCTCTCTCTCAAAAATAAGTAAAAAACATTAAAAAAATTTTTAAGCCTCATATGACATATGACACATATTAAAATGCTATTCTTTAGTGTATATTACTACATCTAAAATAAAACTTCATATTTAAGTAAGACAGTATTAACATTCCTACACAGCATTATTACTTTAAGGAAAAAGGAGCAAAGGTACTACAAAGTACATCAATGAAACAAAAAGTGTATTTAAATTGTCCATTTTTTTTAGAATAGTGTTAAATTTAGCCAGTGTTATTTGTTTGCATTAAAGCGGTATTAGTTCTCAACCACATATTAGTCACTTTTGGGTCTTCCTAAAAAATTATGATAAAATACATAACATAAAATTTACCACTTTAACCATTTTTAAGTGTACACTTCAGTTGTATTAAGTATATTCATTCTTGAGCAACTAATCTCTAGAACCTTTTCATCTTCTAAACTGAAACTCTATACCTATTTAATAACTCCTCATTCTCTCTTCTCCCCATCCTATCTTGTTTCTATGAATTTAACTACTCTAGGTATCTAAGTGGAATCGTATTATTTGTCTTAGCATAATATCCTCAAGATTAATCTCTGTTGTAGCATGTCAGAACTTCCTTCATTTTATAAAGTTTAACATTTAATTATCTGTACATAACACTCTGTATATCCATTCATTCATCCATAGATACTTGGTTAGCTTCCACTTCTTGACTGTTATGATTACTGCTATAAACATAAGTGTATAAATATCTCTTTCAGACCCTGCCTTCATTTTTTATGGATACACCCCAGAAATGCAGAAGAGAGAATTGCTGGATCATATGGTATTTTTTTTTGAGGAGACCCATACTGTTTTCCATAGCACCAGCAATATTTTACATTCCCACCATCTACAGGTTCACAATACTTTTTATTTTCTTGTTGGCTTTTCATTAGCAGCCATTATAATGGGTGTGAGGTGTGGATCATTTAAAAAATACCAATGATGAATGTCCAGACCCCAGTCTTTGGAGATGGGGCTTGCTAATCAGTTTGCTCTTCAAACTTCCCAAGTGCTTGAGATACATAGACAGGATTAAGAACTACTGCACTACAGTGAACTAACTTGAGGTGTCATATTACTCTTCTCATGTTATACAAATATGAACTACAACTTTTTTAATGTTGTTTTGAGAGACAGAACATAACCAGGGGAGGGGCAGAGAGGGAGGAAGACACAGAATCATAAGCAGGCTCCAGGCTGAACTGTCAACACAGGGCCTGACACGGGGCTTGAACTCATGAACCATGAGATCATGACCTGAGCTGAAGTCACTTAACTGAGCCACCCAGTTGCCCTGAACTATAACTCTTAATGTTATTAAGAACAAAGGGGAAATTCTAGTTTTGCAACTAGAAATTCAGTTTTGCAACTAAAACTAGTTCTGTTTTGTAATTAAAGTTAACCTATGTTCGGAGTGTCCCAATCACTAGACTCTCCTCTTCTTCGCAGAGATAGCCACTAGGATAACTTTTATCCCCATAGATTAAATTGTGACTGCTTTTAACCTTTACATAAATGTAGTATTATTTGCTATGCATTACATTGTGTGTAGCCTTTCACCAATATCATGTTTCTGAGATGTATCTGTTATTTGTTCATCTTCATTGCTATATAGTATATTATGATTGAATTAGACTATAATCAATCCATTCCTCTTGTGACTTTTGGGTTGCTTCCAGTGTTTGAGGCATGTTTGTTGTACGTGCTATGAACATGCTTGTAGTGAATATGCACATACATTATATTGGATATAAACCCAGAAGTGAAAATGTTGGGTCATAGGTTTTGTGTGTTCAACTGTAGTAGATAGCAGTTTTCAAAAATGTACCAATTTATAAGAGCATTTTTGAGAATCCCATTTATTCCATATCCTTGTCAATATTTAGTGTTATTGGGGTGCCTGGGTGGCTCAGTCGGTTAAGGCTCATTGACTCTGGTCATGAGCTCATGGTTAGTGGGTTCGAGGCTTCATGGGCTCTACATGGACAGTGAGGAGTCTGCTTAGGTTTGTCTCCCTCTCTCTCTGGCCCTCCCCTGCTTGTTCTCAAAAAAATACAAAAAATTTTTTTTCATCTAAAAATATTATCAATGTGTTTCATTCATCCATTCTGGTGAGTGTATGATGGGATCTCATTGTGATTTTAATTTGTATTTCACTGAGGATTCAGGTCATGAGAAACCTGTTTAATATGTCTATTGGCCACATGAATATCTTCTGTGTCAATTGCCTGTTGAAGTGTTCTACTCATTTTTGTATTGGGTTGTCTGCTATTATTAATTTTTAGTTCTTCATATAGTCTGAATACAAACTTTGTTATGCGTGTTCTAAGTATATTCTCCATGCTTTTCCTTTGCAACCTCTTTTTAAATCAGCATTCTTATCCCCTCCTCCCAAATGCTAATCCATCAGCTATTATTACTCTGCTTTGCCACTACCTTATTTATGTACTTGTTGACTATCTCCCAACCCCTCTCTCCTGCTTTGTCTTGATCTAAGACATTTTGAGGTCTTGTCTGACTAATGCCTAGGACAGAGCCTACAGGGGCTGAATTAAAGTGTTCAGATTCAGTTTTATTTTAGAGATAGAGTAGATGTGATGTTTTTATATAAGGGGAAATAGGGAAATCAAGAATGTTTCACTTTTAAGGTGCCTAGGTGGCTCAGTCAGTTAAGCACTTGTCTTTAGACCAGGTCATGATCTCACAGGCTGTGAGTTCAGGCCCTGCACACGACTGTGCTGACAGCTCAGAGCCTGGAGGCTGCTTCAGATTCTTGTCTCCCTCGCTCTCAAAAATACCATTAAATTTAAAAAAAATTTTTTTTTTTTAAAAAACAGAGTGTTTTACTTTTAGGTCCCATTGCTCAGGAATATGCCTTTAAAAAAAGATAAATTAATTAATGCTTATCAATTAAAAAAATGACTTTTCCAAACCTGTTCCCCTCATCTAAACCTCATACCCTTTTGCAAAGGATCTGTTTATGAGAAACCCTTTATTTAAAAAAAAATTTTTTTCCATTTGCTTTTGAAAGACAGAGAGACAGAACACTAGTGGGAGAGGGGCAGAGAGAGAAAGGGAGACACAGAATCTGAAGCAGACTCCAGGCTCTGAGCTGTCAGCACAGAGCCTGATGTAGGGCTCAACCCACAAACTGTGAGAACATGACCTGAGCCAAAGTTGGACACTTAACTGACTCAGCCACATAGATGCCCTGAAGAGAAGCCCTTTAAAAATTAATTTCCCTTGACTTCTTTTATTTCCTATTCTATTTCCCATTACTTCATAAGTGCTTCACCCCTTTTCCAAAATCCTATTATTTCATTAATCGTTCCTTTATTTCTGCTATTGTAGATTTCTTTTTAAATTAGGCTTAAGGCTTTCTTCTACTTAAAGAGTATATAATACATAATCTTATTTCTTGATCTTCTTAAGAGTATATTTTCTATACTCTTATTTTTGAGTCTTATTTATAATTTGCAATTACAAATTAATCATTTGTAATTAATTTCTGCTGGTATTTCTGTCTGTAGATATGCTCTAGTCATCCTTAAAATTTTTCCTTAAAAACACCTTTCCACACAAAAACCTGCACACAGTTGTTTATAGCAGCTTTATTAAAACTTTGCCAAAACTTGGAAGCAACCAAGGTGTCCTGCAGTAGGAGAATGGATAAACTGGAAAACATCCAGACAATGGAAGGTTATTCAGCAACCTATCAAGAAATGACCTACCGAGACAGGAAAAGACAGGGAGGAATCTTAAATGCACATTAGGCAAAAGAAGCCAATCTGAAAAGGCTACATACATAGTGTATGATTCTTATATATGAGATTCTGTAAAAGGCAAACTGTGGAGACAGCAAAAAGATCAGTGGTTACCAGGAGCTGGGGAGAGGGAAGGAGAAAAAGATGGAGAACACAGGATTTTTAGGGCAGGGAAAAGACTCTGTATTAGATCATAATAGATACATGCCATCATACATTTGCCCAAACCCTCAGAATGAATACCACTCTTACGTGAACTCTCATGCCAACAAAGGACTTTGGGTGATAATGAGCTATCATTGTAGGCTCATCTACATATTTTGCCAAAAATATGTAACAAACTTTAAGACTTAACTTTCATATAACAGAAAATTAAAGGGTGAGGGCACCTAGGTAGTTCAGTGGGTTAAGCATCTGATTCTTGGTTTCGGCTCAGGTCATGATCTCTCGGTTCATGAGTTCAAGCCCCACGTCAGGCTCCACGCTGACAGTGCAGAGCCTGCTTGGGATTCTCTCTCTCCCTCTCTCAAAATAAAATAAACTTAAAAAAAAAATTATTAAAGGGCTAGAGCTGCACTGTCCAATATAGCGACCTTTAGCCACATAGAAGAATTTAAGTTCAAATTAACCAAAATTACCTAAGTCAAAAACTCATCCACATTTCAAATGCTCAATAGCCATAAGTCTACTGGCTACTGTATGGGACAATGCAGCTATAAAACATTGCCATCACTGCAGAAAAGTCCTGTGGGACAGTGCTAGAAAAAAGTGAAACAAAACCATTAAGAAAAAAAATGTAGAATATATAATATTCTGTAAGACAAAACCAAAACAAGTAAAAAAGAAAAAGATAAATGGCCTATTTTTATAAAAAGATTATAAAAGAAAATGTGAGAAACTGAAGACATAACTAAACTCAGTTTTATCATCCTAGGTCAAATCTTGGTTTGAGATTAACAATTAAAGACTTCTTGGGCACAACTAGGGAAAATCAGGGAATTGTTCACTTTGACAGGTGTGAGAATACATTATGACAGGTGTGAGAATAGTATGGTGATTATGAAAATAAAGTGATTAAGAAATTGATGTTAATAATATCTATCAAAATAGGTTTTAAATGATTTGGGACAAAAAAACCCATATACACAAGCAAACATGGCAAAATATTGACAATTGTTGGTAGATATACAAGTGTTCCTTGCCCATTTTTCTATATATTAGGAATTTTAAGGGGCACCTGGGTGGCTCAGTCAGTTAAGCGTTTGACTTTGGCTCAGGTCATGATCTCACGATTTATGGGTTCAAACCCTGCATCAGGTTCTGTGCTGGCAGCTCAGAGCCTGGAGCCTGTTTCAGATTGTGTCTCCCTCTCTCTCTGACCCTCCCCTGCTCACGCTAGGTCTCTCTGTCTCAAAAATAAAAATCTATAAAAAAAAATGTTAAGCAATAAACTTATGGCACACTGTGGCTGAAGACTGCAGATGGACCATGAATAAGACCTCTGATTTATCACTGGGCAAAAGAACAGTTAATATTTTATAATCTGATTATCTCGGGAGTAAGCTCTGCTTTCTTTGGCTGGAGTGTGTGAGGTGTGTGATGTGAGGTGAATCTCTAGTCCAGCAATAGAGGACTAGGAATTGTTCCCTTTATAAAATATTCTTTATAATCACCCCAGTCTTTCTGTTCAATGTATTTTAACCTTCTGTTTCTTAAAAAAAATTAACTTTAAATGTTAATTATGTTTTAAAGACAGGAAGAGAGAGAGCACAAGTGGGGGAGGGGTGCAGAAAGAGAGAGAGAGAGAGAGAAAGAGAAAATCTAAAGCAGGCTCCAGGCTCTGAACTATGTCAGCACAGAGGCTGCTACAAGGTTTGAATTCAACAAACCGTGAGATCATGACCTGAGTCGAAGTCAGATGCTTAACGAACTGAGCCACTCAGGCACCCCTTATTTAAAATTTTTTTAAAGGAGTTGTGGTGTTTTATACTTGGCAAATTTCTGTTAATTGATACTAAAGCCTTTATCTTATTAATTTTAATAATTTTGTTAATTTGTTATTAGAAAATGTTCTCAATAGAAAACAGAAAATGCCAGCATAATGGTTCAGCAACACACACCCACAAAAGATTTACACCTTATTTGATATAATGGTGGGTCCTAATCAGCTGAAAGGTGTCACTTAAACGCCAACATGATTAAAGTTTGGAGTTACAAGTATACTGGCAAATATACATAACCTGTAGCCTCTCTCATCTCTGTTAAACTTGACTGTTGTTTCCGATGTTTACGGTGAGTTGTCATTTTACTGTTGTTTCTGCTTTCAGACACTTTTTACTAGTGGAAAGACAGCATGGGAAGATGAAATCTAATCTCAATAAGAATTCAATGTTATATAACAACCACCACTGACAACTGCACAAAGACAATGTACCATGAATTATGAAAAGTTCTGGTTTATTTACTTTGATGAAGATAATCACATAATGCGTATCACCTTGTCAGATCATTTTATGGTTCCATGAGCAAACTCACTGAAAATCAGATGTTTATTTTATTTGAGAGAGAGAGAATGCCTGCAAGCAAGCAGGGGAGACGGACAGAGAGAGAGAGAGGGAGGGAGAGAGAATCCCAAGCAGGCCCCACATTCAGAACTGAGCCCAATGCAGAGTTTGATCCCACGACCCTGGGACCATGACCTGAGTTGAAATCAAGAGTCAGACCCTCAACTGACTGAGCCACCCAGCTGCCCCCAAAATTAGATCTGTTTTGTCTACTCAGTAGTTCATTGTAAAACAATCTTTTGAGTTCTGGAGAAGGTCTTAAAGATGATGTACTATTTACAGAAGTCATTTAAAAATGAGTTTATTTGAATTTTAACATCCACGTGGTATGAAAGGCATACAACAAAGTTTCCTTTCCTATTCTTGTCCCTTAACCAAATAGGACCCCTCCTTACTTTTAGCAGTTTCTTGTACATCCTTTTAGAAACAGTGTCTTTTACATTTAATTCATATTAGAAATTGTCCCAGGGCAGCTCCCTCTATTTTTTTAAGTTTATTTATTGAGGGAGAAAGAGAGAGAGAGAGAGGTTGAAAGGGAGAGAGAATCCCAAGCAGGTTCTGCACTATCAGTGCAGAGCCTGACATGGGGCTTGACCTGATGAACTGTGAGATTATGACCTGATCAGAGATCGAGTCACTTTCTTAACCAAATGAGCCTCCCAAGTACCCCTAGTCCCTCTATTTTTAATGGCTTTCCAGTATGAAATTATATGAATATGGACGTACAATATTATATATAATGTTGCAATCAATATCCTTATAAATATATCATTGCATACATATGTCAATACCTATTAGAGATATTTTTTTGATCTGGCCTTTGGATATACTTCTATTAAGATTTTTAGGACACTTTGAAATATTGCTATATGTTTAATTGCCATTGAGAGATTATTCTAATTTATATCTCTACCAACAACATACAAGAATAAAAATTTAAACTTCTAAACAAGTCTTTGAAGTAGTTGTGAATATTCCAGTCATTCCTGACAAATACTTATAAACCAAATCAAAGGTTTCCTGAAATGCACACATGAGCTAAAACATGTTTCCAAAATGTTACAAGAAATATACAAGTTCACCTCTAATTTAATGTAGACACAGACATATCAGGAACAGTCTGATCTCTTTAGCAAAGGTTTCACCCTTCCAAAAACATAAAAACCAATCAGCTGCTTGAGTTTGCAAGAAAAAAATATTTACATAATTCTTCAATTATTACTGCCCTCAGTGGTGCAAGTATTAAATTGTGTTGCCCTATATGCTTACTGAAGTCTCAAGGAATTGAGCTGATTAAAAGACAAAAATAGTATAAATTAATATATCTGTGCCTAGAAGACTTAATTTTAGAAAGAATTGAAATTTTGAGGTTTTGAGTAAAGATTGTTTAAAAACCTCTTCCATCATTTCGATAAATGGCAGAGAATAAATTATTCTGCTGTGTGGTGGCACTTCTGGTTGAACTTCAGAGCAGATCTTACACATGCAGAGAAGCAGCACAGCAAAGAACTTGAGTTTGGATTCTGAATACCAAGTGGTTCCAGGGCTCAGAAAAGTCAAAGGCAATCCAACGGGTGTGAGCTCAAGTACGGATTCCAAATCCTGCATCATCAAATGAATAGTCTCCAATTCAAGGGAGAAAATGGTTTCTTCAGAATAAAATCAGGCTTCACTTAAAGCCAAACAGATGATTTCTAGAAAATGTATATTCTTCACAATGATTCAATCTTCTCTTCTACTCCTCCCTTCAGTCTAGAAATGGGACACCCTCACTGTCTAGAACTGTTCCCAGGTACTCTACATAATGAGATAACAAAAGTCCTTGATCTCTCTTGCCTATATCATCAGCATTTCTATACTAGCTTACCCTCCATGTACACTTTAAGTCTCCTTAAAAATTCTTCTCTTGATCTTATTGTCTCCTTGAAGCCTCAGTCTTCTCTCTTCTGTACCTCACACCGGAGCATCCTAAAAAATGACATTGTCTTTACTCCCCACCTCAATTTTGTCCCTGCCATGCTTCTAAAATTCCTCCTACACTAAGGCTAATTAATACTTACCATACTTAGTTGTTAAATAGATTCTTTTTGAGTCATATCTTACTTGACCTCTCAGCAACATCTATCACTAGACTATCGTGACTCTCTTGAAATTCTTCTCTGGTTTCCAGGATACCACAATTTTTTTCCAGATTCTATTTGTTCACTTATTACATACTTTTAAAGCACCTACAATGGTGCCAAGCATTGAACTAGGAACTGAGGATACAGTCTCTTTAAAGAGACTTAATAGGTAATTACAACAGGATACATATAATTACTGCTTTGATAGAGGTAAGAGCTGGGTGATAAGGGAATAGAGTCAGATTGGAAATCCAGAGGATGTTACCTCCTTCATAATCTCATTTTCTGCTAACCCATTAACATCCTCCAGGGTTCTTCCCTTGCTCTTTTTTTTTTTAACTCCATCTACACACTCCCTGACACTTGGATATAAATTTACATATTCTGAATACTTAGGGTGTTCCTATATTCCAACCCCCAAACTGCTTTTTTTGTTCAGTCCCTTGTTACTCCCACCTGAATTGATACAAAAGTGAGGTTTTGAGTTTTCTTCAGTAATTTACAGCCACACTGTTCATTCAACCCACTGCTGTTCCTGATATACACATATATAAACCCCTTGCCTATCTCATTAGACTTCTATGTTGCTACTATCTCAATCCCCAACCTGTGTCAGCCACACTAAAAAATGTGCAGTTCATGTCCCACCACACTTTGTGCTCAACACCTGTCCATGGCTTTGAAAAATTTCTTCTGCTTACCAGAGCTCCTCTCCCCCATCACATTTTAGGCTAACTTCTATTTGTCTTTCAAGATACAGCTCAGTTATCACTTCTACCCAGATACCTCCCTCATCCCCTTCTACCCACTCAGGTCCTTCCCACGGGCCCAAAAGCACCACACAGATTACCCAAAATGAACAATAATATACCAGCAACAACTAAAGCTTCGTACTGTCTCCTGCATTCCCAAAACTACAGTATATCCCGCGACCCACCAAATCAATCCTAGGCCTAAGAGAAGCACAGAAACCAGGAATGTTTTTCAAGAGTTGGGGGAAGGCGGTTGTGTAACCTGAATGTCACACCCTCGCCCTAATCTCCTTCTTCCCACCCCTTCTTTGCAAAAAAAAAAAAAAAAATGCCAAAGCGTTTGTAAGAGTCAAGTCCCCAGTTTTTAAAAGGGTCCACTGGGGCAACAAGCTTGAAGTTGGTAAGCCAAAGGAAAGCAACTGGCAGCTCACCTGGGCAGCAAGGCACGCAACGGGATGGCCTCGCCAACTGCCTCGCCGGTCGCACAGTGTTGATGGGGGAGGGGAGAAGAGCAAACAACGGTTGCTTCCTACTCAGGATCCCGCCGAGGGCCCGGATCCCAAAGCGGAGCACCACGTAGAGGCTCTGTCACCTTTGGTGAAAAAAAGACCTTATCTGATCGTTCCCTCCAGCTTATATCAGATGAAGCGGTGTGAGGTAGGAGTTCTTCGCCGACCGTCACCACCAGCTCTCGCCCTACTGGCAGCCGCCACGAGCCGGCACTGACAGGCGCCTTTATCCGAGGCCGGCTGCAGGCGGCCCACCCATTGGTCTGAGCGCGTCACGTGGTCATGCCTGGAGCGGGGCGGGGAGTAGGGTGAAGTCTCTGCTCCGTGGCCAGGGCTTTCAGCCGAGGTTTAAGGTCTTGCCTCCGGGGAGTGCACGTTTGTTGAGCCTTTACGGAATGCCAGGTACAGGGCAGAGAGCTGGGGGTTTAGGAGTAGGAATGCCACCCAAGAGTTTATCATTAAAACAATTCACTGAATTAGCACGATGTTGTTGGGGGGGGGGGGGTGGTGCGGGGCGTCGTGAGTTTGGGCTTGTGTTGTTTCCGTCGTTTTCATACTTTTCTCCAGTCCTCCCCGCAGTTCCCATCTCCTGCACGTAGTGAATGCTCGGTATTATAATAGCAGCTGAAGTGGGAGCCCACATGAGCTCGTTGGTTTTAAAATGGCACTTCAGAGCATTTTCACAGCAGCTACGTGCAGAGAGTGACTTAGGATTTTGAGAGTCTTGGAGACTACCTCCATTTTATTTGTGGACGTGTATTAAAAGAATGTATTTGGGGGGCACCTGGGTGGCTCAGTCGGATAAGCATCCGACTTCAGCTCAGGTCATGATCTCACAGTTTGTGGGTTCGAGCCCCGCATCAGTCTCTGTGCTGACAGCCAGTTCAGAGCCTGGAGCCTGTTTCAGATTCTGTGTCTCCCTCTCTCTCTGACCCTCCCCTGCTTGCTCATGCACTCTCTCTCTGTCTCTCAGAAATTTAAAAAAAAAAAAAGAAGAATGTATTTGGCACCGAAGTGCCGTTTGGATCCAATCACAAACAATTTCTAAATTCTTAATCATTCCCAGACAGATAAGTGGTAGCAAGGATAGATGGGGGAGGGGAAGATAAAAACAGCTGATGAGCTGCTCGATAAACCCGATAAACCCGTCAAGAACCAATCTCTAGTTTCTTGAAGTGCAAATCTGGGTGTCATCAACAGCTTGGCATATCTTAGTTCTGTCCTGTGAGAGTAAAGGTCCTCAGGACAATGTGTTCACAAAAAAAACAACACAATGCTAGAGGTCACATAATTAAGTGGAGCTAAAGGAACTTTTACTTTGGAAAGGCTCTTCTTAACTTAAAATAGTGAAAATGGCTTACTTTAGTCAGAGAAAGGACTAGAAGGCCTTTACTTCCAGGTAACTGAATAATCAAGGATTATATGGAAAGTGTATAGTTTGCTTAGATTTGATGTTTGTGTTCTTGTTTTTGTTGTTTAAGATCTTATTAGGTAGGAAAAAGATAGGAACTAGGGTGTGATCTAGGTATAGACCTAGGGTGTGACCCTTACACTGGCAGAGGCCTAAGGGAAGTCAAAGGAGATAAAAGCCAGGAATGACTCCGTGCAAATCTTGTTCACCTGTCAGTATTTTGGCTCTCCTCCTGAGAACCAGTAAGGGAGAAGTGCATACCCCAGTGATCTTTTAAAAAGCTAAATCTCATCTTGTTAACACCCTTAAAACCTTTCAGTTACTTTCCATTATTTAAAGATAAATATCAAAACCCTTAGATGAGCTATGGGGGGGGGGGTAAGGGGTGGGGCACCTGGGTGGTTCAATGGGTTAAGCATGGAGACTCTTGATTTCACCTCGAGCCATGATCTTACTGGCTCAGGTCATGATCCCAAGTTTGAGCCCCTGCAATGGGCTGTGACCTGATGGCCACAGATGCTTAGGATTTTTTCTGTCTTTCCCTCTCTCTCTCTGACCCCTGTCCCACCCCCACGAACATGCACTCTCTCTCTCTCAAAATAAATAAACTTAAAAAAAAAAGAGCTACATTTTTGAGAAGTATGCTGGTGCAATTTTGATTGGAATTGCATTGAATGTGTAGAGTGCTTTAGGTAGTAATGACATCTTAACTATATTTATTCTTCCTATCCATGAGCATGGAATGTTTTTCCATTTCTTTGTGTCTTCTTCAATTTCCTTCATAGCAGCACTCTCCACAATAGCTAAAACATGAAAAGAGCCTAAGTGTCCATCAACGGACGAATGGATCAAGAAGATGTGGTTTATCTATACCATGGAATACTACATGGCAATGAGAAAGAATGAAATCTGGCCATGTGTAGCAACATGGATGGACCTTGAGGGTGTTATGCTGAGCAAAATAAGTCAGGCAGAGAAGGACAAATATCATATGTGTGCACGTATAGGAGGATTAGGAGGAACTTAACAGAGGACCAAGGGGGAGAAGAAGGGCAGAAATGGTGGGGGAAAGGGAGAGAGGCAAACCATGAGAGACTCTTGAATGCTGACAAAAACTAAGGACTGATGGATGTGGGGGGGAGGAGGGATGGGCATGGAGGAGGGCACTTGTGGGGATGAGCACTGGGTGTTATGTGGAAACTAATTTGACAATAAACTATTTGTAAAAAAAAAAAAGAGCTACAAGGTCCTACTTGAATTCTCTATCTTCAGCTCCATCCACCCCACCAATAGTACCCATCCCCAGCCACACTGACCTTTTAGCTCTTCCCAGTACCCTGTTATCCTCCCCTCCCTTCCTTTACCTCCCTCCCCTCAAGGCTTCTATAATGGGTTCTTCTCTCTACTCCTATCCTATGCTCAGGTCTCAGCTCAGTCATTTCCTCAAGGAGGCCTCCACTAAATTGGTCTTCCTATAATACACTCTTATTACAACCATATTACACAGCACCTATTACAGTTGTAATTATATAGCCAGGCACATTGTTACTGTCTATTTTGCCCAGAACACAGTAAGCACCATGAATGCAAAGTATCAAAAGTCAGAATGTAGTATCATTAAGTACATTATCCTTTGATCCTGCCAGCTTTTAAGGACTGTGGCAAATCAGATTTGAATCAAGGGTGTGGGTAGGTAGTCAGCCGGCAATGACAAAAACAGATTTGAGTTTTTTAAAGAAACTTAAAATGGTTGTAAAATGGAGAATATCGAGAGTGGGTTTATTTGGGAGGTAGACTCCCAACGATTTGCTGTTAGACTGGATGTAAAGAGGATATGGTGTTTCTGGCTTGAGCATTTGGAGGAAGGCACCATTTACTAGACAGGAAATTGTAGGAGGGGAGCAGGTTGCCGGGAGGAGGAAGATAATGAGTTCACTTTTGAACATAATGAATATAGGGTGCCTGTAAAATATCTGGATAGAGATTTTGAGTGGGGAGTTTATTATACAGCTCAAAATTCAGTTTAAGCTGAAGATGGGAGAGAAGGGCAGGAAAGAAGTTAGAAGAGTAAAATAGTTTTGAAATAGTTTTTATGGAGAAAAATCTTGAGTGGGAAATGTCTTAGCAAGACATATTTGAGACAGGTGATTGTACATGGAGAAGAACCTTCCTTTTCCCCCGTATTGAGGTTTGCCAGGGGATGTGTGACAGAGAGAAAAGTTGCTTCGAAATTATTGGGGGAAAAAAGTGGCTGAAGACCAGTACAGTATAGTAAGAGTAGGATATCATAAAGCTATTCTGTGACATATAAAATAGTTGTAATTATGTTTTTTTAGAAAAACATCAAAAAGTTCCATTTTAGTTTAAATCAATATATCACATGAATATAGATGAAAGACATTATCAACTTTCCATCTTCCATTCTAGCATCGGATTCAACAAGAGGAAGCCCATCTTTCTGGTCTATGGATTCACAAGTATCCCCAGATAAATGAGAGAATTTAAATTTACACGGTGTCTAGGTGGCTCAGTGGGTTAAAGGTCTGACTCTTGATTTTCTGGCTCAGGTCTGAGTCAGGTTCTGTGCTGGGTGTGGAGCCTGCTTGGGATTCTCTCTCCCTCTCTCTCTGCCCCTCCCCCGCTCTCTTTCTGTCTCTCAAAATAAATAAACAAAAAAAGAATTTAAATTTATAAATGATTTTGTATAGGAATTTGGAGGTAATTTAATACATAAAGTATAGAGGATAATTTATTACTAAAAATAAAAATATGTTAACTCTGTGTTGCTAAATCCAAAAGTCAGCTCCTGCTAGTTCCTTCTTCTCAGTGTTGGAATTATCCAATGCTTGGTCCTTAGGCCTTCTTCCTACTTAAACACCTGTAAGAAGACCACATCCAGTCTCAAGGCTTAACTGTCCTTGGCTCCCAAATTTACGTATCTGTCTTGAACCCTTTTCCTGAACTCTAGATTCATAAATCCAACTGCTTACTGCATATCTCCATGTGGAAAGTCTAATGAGCATCTTAAACTTGGTATTTATGTCCAGACCTGAGTTCTTGATGTCCCCTTTCAAACTGTTCTGCCCACAGTCTTCCACATCTCAGTATTTGGCAGCTCCAGTCTTATAGTTACTTAGGCTAAACATTCAGTCATCCCCTGTTTCGCATCTTATAGGCAATCAAGTTTAAAAGGGTTTGATTCATCAGCAAATCTTTGTGGCTACATTTTCACAACCTATCCAGAATCTGACCTAGTCCAAATCCATATAATGTTTCATCTAGTTTATTGAAACAGACTGATCTCCAATGCTTCTGCTTCTCCCTTTGGCCTCCTTCAGTCTGGCCTCAACATGGCAATAGAATGATCTTGGTAATCAGTTCATGTCATTCCACTCCTCAGAACTTTTCAATGGCTACCCATGTCCCACATAGTGGAAAAGTCCTGCAGTGATCCTCAAGACTCTACATCATCTGCCCATTAATTGACAAAGCATGAAAAAATGTTTTGTATCAAATAACACATACTCTTACCTCAAGGGGAGGTATGACTTACAGTACCAGTCTTGCTTCTTCCCTATTCAATTTCATAGTTCAATGCCTTAGATATCAATATTTTTATTAGCAGCCTTTCCATTATTTTTAAAAATTTTTTTATTAAAAAAAATTTTTAATGTTTATTTTTGAGACAGAGAGAGACAGAGTGTGAGCAGGGGATGGGCAGAGAGAAAGAGGGAGACACAGAATCC